TACTTATTTAGAAGATTTACACCCAATCTCTTGATTTTATCGAAAAAGATCTCGCGTTGAGGCGAGAGACGAAACGGATGAGAGAGATGAACACAAAAGTCGTTTTGGATGATGCCATTGAGAGCTTTGAAACGACTGTAAAGGTAAAAAGTAGCTTTTTGTCTAATCCAACTATAAAATGATTAGTTAATGATAATTTCTTTTGTAATTTTTAGAGAAGCAATGAAGATTCTTTTGAAAGGACTGTTCATCGAGCAAAGCAAACAGGGATCTCAAATCTAGAGAGATTACTCGATGCTGAGAGTTCCCCTAACGCTATTGAGGAGTTTAACGCCAGAGCACAAGTGATTTTGATAATATAAATAGTTTAGCTATTAGGAATTGCTTTTTAGCAATAGTTAAGGTCCTTTTTGAGTCTAGTTGTTGATTCTAGAATGATATTATCTGATAAGATTTAGGTTATTTCTGATCAGAGAAAAGTGGAGCTCAACAATGAAAGAAAAGCCAGAGAGAAGCGAGAAAAACGGTTGAAAGAAGAAAAGGAAAAGATGAATGCAAAGGTTTGTAAATTTTCAAAAATTAAAATCAAAATCGATTTAGTTACTGAAAGAAAAAACTTCAAGCGTTGTAGAAGTGATTCCACCAACTTCGACACTCGAGACGTGCAACAACAGCAACAACATTAACAACAACAAGGTATAAAGCTGTTAACAGATAGGAGGAAAGACGAAAAAAGACAAAAAAGACTTTCTGAAAAGCCTAAATAAAAACAATCTCTTTCAGCTAGACAAGAAAGTGGCTCAAAAAGTGGATAACTTGACAAAACCAAAGCCAAAACCTAGCAAAACTGTCGATTTCTCTGCGCCCAGTCCTTCCTACATCCATTCATATGCCGAGACCGAGTTTATTTTTGAACTTGGCGTATTCCGGAGCATGTTAAAGGTTTGAAAATTATTTTTGAACTATTTTTGAATTATTTAAAAAATTATTTGAAAGATAGTAAGGCTAGAAAGTTGATAAAATTCTATTTACAAGCTTTTCTCCATGACTTTGTAAGCGCTTTTTAATCTGACTTTTGAAATTTGACCATCATCTGACAATCTTACGGTAAAGCAGTGGTCGGTAGATTACCGTAATCTTTAGGTTACTGTAGCTCCTCGATTGCCGTAATCTTTAGATTACTGTAGCTCCTCGATTACCGTAATCTTCTTAACCGTGTACTTAATCTAGTTAATAAATCCTAGCAATCTCGTAGATCACGGTAAAAATAAAGCAGGAAACACGGAAAGGGCTAAAACTAGAGCTCTAAGTTAGGTTACGGTAACTTGGGCGTAGATTAGAGCTTTATTCGGGCCATAAAAATCAAAACATCAAAACGAAAATCAAAAACAAAAACCAAATATCATCTTTACAATGTGAAATGGATAAGCAGTAAGCTGGGTTTAGATTTGAAAGGAAACAGCTTATAAAACAGAGCTTAAGAGGAAACAAAGCTTAGGAAACAAAGCTTATAAAGATCAAAGCAAACATTTCTAGAGAGGACTCGACAAAGCAAAGGCTTTTGAAGAAAAGGTGGCGATTGAGAAAGAATATAAAATGCGGTTAGAAGCCGGCAAAATAGCTCACGAAGAAATCTTTCTTTATGTAAACTCACTTCGATATGAAAACGATAAAGTTTTGCAAGAAAATGGAATCGGCAATGATGTCGGTCAAGAGGTAATAGAGAAATCTAACAGTTAAATAGCACAATTTTAGGGTTACACTGATAGTTTCACTTTGAAAAGCCACCTTTCTGACCCCAGCCAACTTTATCGAAGACTTGTACGGAAAAAATGGAAAAATGACGTAAGTTTTCAATTATATTAGGGAAATTCTTTAATTAATCTAGTTCTTAATCTAATCTTTACATTTAATCCTTTTCCTGACTTCTTAAACTAAACAAAAATTCAGCGTTTCGGTGACACTCTTGCAATCACTTATGAAGATGTTCAAAAAGAATTTGGCAATCTATTCAAATTGGTAATATCAAAAATCATGTCAGTTACAACTTTTTTTTCCAGAAATTCCTCAAATCTCAATTCCTTGCTAAACAAATTATTGCTCTAATCGATGAAACGATAGTGATCCAGGAGGAATTTTTCCACTTGACACAAGAACATGATCACGAGAAACGACTGAGGAATTTGCTTGCTTTGACTGCTGAAACTTGTTGGGCTGGGTTCTGGAAGGAGATACAGGTGACTTGGCTATTTAAGAGCTTTGAGATAACTGATTGTGTATGTCAATGATTCATCAGTAGGGTAGATAGACAAGCAAGGTTACGATAGATAGGTAAGCAGGGTTACGGTAGATAGACAAGCAAGTTTACGGTAGATAGCCAAACAGGGTTACGCTAATTTTCGAAAGTTGAAAGTTGAAACTTGTTGGACAGGGTTCTGGAATGAGATACAAGTGGGTTGCCTATTTAAGAGCTTTAAGATGACTGAAACTTCAACCAAATCAACTTCAAATTGTGCTTTTCTTACTCCATAAATTTATTATCATTTGAAAGCTCTTGAGTTTCACTATCTTTTGGTAAAAAATCTATAGAAAAATGTTTAACAGGAAGAGAGTTATGATCGTTGGTAGTTTAAGAGTAGTCTTTGTAGTTTATAGGCGTCAATATCTAGTGTCTTTTGACAGGATCTCACGTTTTAGGGAATAAATTCTAAATGCTAAATAGTGGATGTAACGAGAAATCAAATGTTTAAACAAAAATTAACAAACGAAACTTGTTTCCGGTCCACAAATGATGCTTGACTAAAAGTAGTAATCAAAAACTTTAGAATCATTCTTCGACAAGAGATCAACAAGAGATTTGGGAACATCTAAACAATTTGAAGTTGGTGAAGTCAGAAGCTCCAAAGAAGCCTCAACCTTCACCTCCACCACGTCTCTCACTCGATAATCGGATGCCAATCCCACTCATCTTGATCCTAGGTGCTCTTTGCTTTTCATTGTACAGCTTTTCCGTTAAAAAACCAATAGACACTCCTTTGCAAGAATCTCATAATATTGCTACAGCTATTCCCCCAGATTTCTCATATCTGCAAGAACTGAATGCAGCTTGGGAGTACTTTAACTTATGCAAACTTGCAGTAGACAAGTACCTGCAGGCTCATAGAATCCCTGCAATAAATCTCAATGTAAAATTAATCAACTATGAAGATCTTTTGAGAAATCATACATTAATGTCAAAAATTGAATGGAGAAGAGTCAAGAGGGAGTTTTCGGAGTCTGTTTTGCAACAACATATCTTTGTTGAGACTCCACGTCATGAAATTCATAAAAAGCTTTACCAAACTTGAGATATTTCAAAAGAAGACTTCATTTCTTCAGTAAATTGAATCGGTATCAAAATTTGATACGAGATGGAACTGGGAAAGTGTTTGATCGAAAGAAAGAGGAACTCCACATGGCTACACTAAATCCGAGACGCGATTCAGTAACCTATGTCTGTGGGTCGATCATTGGCAGGAACAGTATCCCAGAATTGTGCTGGTCAAGTCCGAAAGCTCTAATTTATCGTGGAATTTCTCGATTCGTCACAAAACGACAAGAAGCTTTAGTGAAACGAATAAAACTGCAGACGAAAATGTACTTGCGGAAGATGGGAGAAATTTGCTTGCAACCAAAGAGAACAATCTGGCAGCAAAGCTTTATAACTAGTATTGTGAAAAACAGTTTATGGGAAACATCAACCAAAAGTCTAATCATTTTCAGCACCACAGAAACGGTCATAGAAACCAAAGGAGAAAGCTTAAAGGCAATTTTGATTGAAACTCAAGATGTTGAAGATTCTGAAATCGTTGGACACAATAATGATGTAAAATCTCCCAAAATGGATCCAGCAGTGATTCAAGCACAAATAGCTGCAGAAGAAGCGAAAATAGCCAAGTGCAAAAAGGGAAAAACTCGTGACCCTAACGACTAATGATCATTGAAAAGATTGTCTATTGAGTCTTGAAACCTTTATGTCTTTTGCTTGTGTGAAATAAAAGTTCTAAACAAATTCACGCCAAAATGAGATCCAAAATGAGACCCAAAATGAGATCCAAAAATTTAGAGCCACGAATTCTTTCCAGTTTTGTCATAATTCCATTTAGAACCTCAATTTTCTAGATTTTTACTCTTTTCAAGAATTAAAGCATGGCATCTACACAAGCGATTGTCGAATAAAAGAATTTTGGCGGAATCAAAAGAAGCGTTCAACTTCCAAGCAATGGTCCTTACCGTGGTTGCAGGGTTCATCAAACGGTTGGTAAAATTAAGCTTTAGATTCCAAGTGTTTCTTAGATTGCATCAATCTAAAAGACTTTAATCCTCGTGTTAAGACTTATTAAGCTTTAACAGCTTTAGCAGCTTTAAACAGCTTTAGAGAGCTTTAGACAGCTTTAGACCGTTTTAAACAGCTTTAGAGAGCTTTAGACAGCTTTAAACAGCTTTAACAGCTTTAAACAGCTTTAACAGCTTTAAACAGCTTTAAACTGTAGTGAAAGTACTTAACGATGGTACTTTCACTAAGACTTTAGATTACTGTAAGTGCATTTAAAGTCAAATCATACTAGTTTTTTAAATCAAAACCAATAATTTCAGTTAGCCAGCAACCCCTGCCAGCCTCATCTCGACCACCCTCCGATCTAACACTTATTACCAATCCAATCGGACTTTTCCTAAGAAAAACTATTGCTGAACAGTTACCATTGCCTGAATGTTCAGTTTTTTATTGGTAATCAAGTTTCTTGCCAACTTCATAGCTTATTTTGGTTAGACCTTTTGAAAATGCTTCCCAGCTTATTACTGGACACGAAATTGTTGCTATTTAAATTTCTTGATTTCTGTTTAAGACCAATAAAACAAATTCCACTTCATTTGTTAATTCTGCTTAAAGGAATTCCTTATCGTTTTTCTAAATTTTCTTTAATTTTATGATTATTTTAAATGTCGTTTTTTGATTTAGAATGAATCCGGAAACTCCTTGGGCAACGCTTATCAGATCGATGGAAGAACGAGTAAACATTTTTCGAGATTATGTCCAGGTGAATGGTTTTAAGAATTCAAATTTGTTCAAACTTTTGCTTTCATGATTTTATGAAACTAATTAACATCAAACTGATTAAAATTAAACATCAAAAAAGCCACTGGTATCGACTTTATCTAGTAGTTAATAAGAAGTCAAGGAAAGCCATGTCTTTGGCCTGATTGTTTTGGTCTGGTTTTGGTCTGGTTTTGGTCTGGTTTTGGTCTGGTTTTGGTCTGGTTTTGGTCTGGTTTTTATTTGGCTTTGATCTGGTTTTCGTCTGGTTTTCGTCTGGTTTTGGTCTGGCTTTGCTTTTGTCTTGGCCTGATATTTGGCAGCTAATGTAAAGCGAATTGGTTTTATTTTGGCTTGGTCTTGACCGGGTCTAGGCCAATCTTGATTTTTCTTGGTTAACCAATGAAAAGTCAATGATTAGTCTGACATTTGCTTGGTTTTAGGCCCGAAAATCCCAAGAACAGCTCTGAATTTTATATCTCTAAACTCTGGAATAAGCACTGGATTCTATCTGAAAAACATTTGCTTACCATTTGCTTATTTTCAGCAAATGAGCGAATCAGAAAGATTTACTCGTGAAGACGTGAAACGCGAGATTTGTCATCATTGCTCGTTTTTCACCGAATGGACGAATGCTTCCAAGTTCGCCGATGAGCCGATTGATTATTTTCTGAATACGATTTTCAACGAGTGTAATGAGATTGTATCAGTGGATAAGAGAGCGGATGTTTGGCTTCAAATCGAAAAGGTGAATTAGGGTTAAACATTTGTTTTCTAAAGGGTGTCAACTTTCAAAAAAGTCGTAATCTTGTCTCTATTTTTTTGCATCTTTCAATATTCTTGCACAGAAAAAGAAAAAAGTAAAGATAAAGCAGAGACAAGAGTACGGTAAAGTTGACAGAAAAGCAGTTGAGTTACAGAAAAACAGTTACAGTCGATGATAAGCTGACTTATTACTGGATTACAATAGTTGAGTATTTTTAGAAATACACTAGACTATTTTAACCGTAAAATAGAATTATGAATTAAAAGAATTCGATAGAATAGAATGAAATCTATAGAATAATACGAGATTCGTATTTCAGCAAAGGCTTGATCAATCTAAACAACCTGAATTGCTATTGAAAGATTTACTGTTGAGATGGCGGAAAGGAGATGATGGCGAATTTTGTGAAGAGCTCGAGGTTGATGACACAAAATTTAAGGAACTTTATCGTTACATTGAGCAAAAGGTTTGTTCGGATTGAAATTTCAACTTTAGCAAGTCAAATAAAAGCTTAAAATTGTTCAAAGATTGATTGAATGGTTGCAAGGTTTAAACTGGCTGTAACCTAGGCTTCGACATACGTACTGTTGTACATAAGTACTGTTGTAGGCATACTGTAGTTACGGCATACTCTAGGTAAAGCATACTGTAGTTATAGAATACGGTAGCTAAAGCATACTGTTACGGCATACTGTAGTTACGGAAGTACAGCTACAGTAGTACAAGTTAGCTACTGTCGTACGGCTATAGGCATACTGTAGGCATACACTGTAAAGCTATAGGCATACTATTAGTCTAGTTGCTGCCTAGTTTAAGCTAAAAGTTTAAACCTCCAATCCTCACAATGCTTCAGGATCTATCTCAAAAGCGAGCTTGGACTGCTCAAGAGATTTTCAAACAGAGCAAGCAATCAGCCACTCGAAGAAAGACTTTCTATGAGATCTTGCAAGAATTCGATCATGATGATCAATTGAATGATTTACTCGACAATGTTCTCAGTCAAAGCTGGACAGACTTTCTTTGGAAGATTCTGGTAGCTCCATTTGATCAAAGAAAATGAGAATTTTTAGATTGAGGACGGCTTAAGAACTGCTCCAGTTAATCGGTAAGTGAAGAGGCTGAAAAGAATAATACTTATTTTGATTTGACACTTATTTTAAAAACTACCGTATTTAAAATGTCAGTTTTCATCGTATCATTTACCGAATCTTGTGATTCCTCATCAAATCAGACCAAAATTTAAATGATCAAATGGAAATGGCGGTGTGATTAAAGTTTTGACTGTAGTTTTTAGTGTCTTTTAGAAAATTTGTTAGCTAGAAGAAGATATTTTGCAATATTTCTTTGAAAAACAGTTTTCAAAACATCTACCAATATCTCTTTGATAAACCAAAAGATTTTCAAGTTAGAATTTACTAAAATTTCAGAGCTCAAGAAACTCATCGCATCCTATTTGAAGTGCTCAATGAGTTGTCAATAAAAATGACGGAATCAAAACGAAAAGCTTTCTTCGATCAGATGAACAGTCGAAGCTCTTCTAAGAATTTGTCCTATGGCTATGTGATTGGTTCCTTTGTCACCATTGGGTTCACTGTGTTAATTGCGATAATTGCTGCCAAGTGATTAAGAAAACGAAGTGACAATTGCTAGTGTTTGATCAAACAAAAAAGCTTTTACGAAACTTTTATAGATTCAATTTGCTGTGATAAATCGTTCATAAGGTGAAAATTTCTGATAAACTACTTATAAACAACTTTATATTTCATCCATTCACGAATTAAAAGCCGCCAATCGATCGATTCCTTAGCCCTGAATTCAATTTTTTAACTCTGAAGCTTTTAGCTCATTTGGGAGGCATTTACAAAACAAAAGAATCACTGTATAATTGACTGAGGAGGTATTCTTTGTGCGCGCACACAATCGCTCCCGATCTGGCAAATGATGCCGATAGATAGGTGTTTCCTTTGACGTCCAAATGACTAAACCGGCCAAAAGGAAAAGACGTTGCCCAATGGACGTTGGACGAGCGTTGGTCGAGCGTTGGTCGAGCGTTGGTCGAGCGTTGGTCGAGCGTTGGTCGAGCGTTGGTCGAGCGTTGGTCGAGCGTTGGTCGAGCGTTGGTCGAGCGTTGGTCGAGCGTTGGTCGAGCGTTGGTCGAGCGTTGGTCGAGCGTTGGTCTGAGCCGAATTCCTCCCTTTCCAAACGCTTAGGACCAATTTCTGCATTAAATTTGTCTAGACTCTTACTACAAATGCTGCATTCCTTTGAACTATTTTTTTCCAAACAACGGGCTTCTAAAATAAAAAACTTAAAAAGGACATGTACAAATATATTTATGCATTTGAATTGTAAAAGGCATAAAGAACTAAAGCAAAATTGCAGACAAAAGAAATTTAAGAAAATTCTTTGTGACTGATTCTTTTGATGACTTCGTGCTTCAGACAAATCTATTTGTGCATTTAAAATAGCCTGAATTGTTCTCTTTAAACATAATAACCTTTCAAGGACTTTAAAAACCAAATAAATTCAGCAATTTTCAAAAGTCTAAGTCATATCTTAGTCATACAATACTTCAAAAATTGTATTTGTAAGTTTGAATTTGAAAATTCTTCAGCCTAATTTTAAATACTTTCTTTATTCTTTTGTTATTTCTTGGCCAAAAAAAAGAAATTTTTCGATTTATTGCAAAAAAACAAACGTTTACAGCTAAAATTTGATAAAATTTTTGCAAAAATTAGCACTCAAAGCAATCATGGAGCGATATCGCCTCATTGAGGATACAGAAAAATCGGGAAAACAAAAAATTCACCAAAATTTGGCGCAAGTAAAGCTTTGAGATTTGAGAATAGAGAAAATTTTGAGTTTTTTTTTGTCAAGACCCGTCAACAGAAATTGGCTTGCTGTTTAGTTTTGACTGGGCTGACCGAAAGGTTTCAAATTGAAGAGACGTCGGTAAATTGTTGCCAAATCCGGTTTCAACATTTTCGAGAATACCTGAAATTTTTGGAAATTTGATAAATATCGAAATCTGTTTGTTCGCGCGTCTTTTGGGAAAAACTTGGGTAATTCAACCTGCCGGGAGCGTTTCCCGCTGCCCCTATCCACGGCCAGTGTGCCAGATGCCGCTTTTTCCTATGAGAGACAGGGAGAGAACGCATCGCGTTGCCTTCTATTGGAACTTCCTATGGTGCGTTCTCTCCATGCCTCTCATAAGAAAAAACGGCGTCTGGCACACTGCCCCGATAGAAATCACCAAAAACCGCTCGTTTAATTACCCAAGTTTCGCTTGCGCGCGCGGTTATGGAAGCGCACCAAGAATGCACAGTGATCAGCGTTACAATCACTTTGACTCTTTTCTACATAACTAGTGCACTAGACAGGATATGTTTACACTTTTTAAGCACAAAGTACATCTTGAGAGACTTGAGAGACTCTAAAACTTGCCTCAACGGTCGTAGAGTCAACTGGTGGCTGAGTTGATTTGAATTGTGGAATCAACGTTGGGATTACAGTTGATAAAGGCTCGGATGTGGTTGACGATTCTTTGCGAGTGATCACTTTCTGTCGAAGAATCTCTTTCTCGGTTGTTGATGCGCTTTCGGTGGTGCTTGTTGGTGTTGAGGATGACAGGGGTAAGGCCTAGAATTGTATAGAGAGATAAAAGAAAGTAAGAACTTTCATTTATTTATTAGAAAAAGATATTTAGCTATCTAAAGTTTCGAATTGGTCTCTAAATTTGATTCTTGCATGTCGTACGGTACTTCAGGATTTGCCGTACTTTCAGTGACTCTTAAGTTAGCTCGCCAAGAGACAAGATTACGGTAACTTTTCTAGAGACAGACAGACAGAGAGACAGATTACGGTAACTTTCCCAAGGACAGACAGACAGACAGACAGACAGACTACGGTAACTTTTCTAGATACATACAGTCAGACAGACAAACAGTCAGACAGATTACTGTAACTGCACCTTTGTAGTCTCCTCTGTGATGAGAACCGTTGTCTCCTCTTTTTTCTCTTTTGTCGTAGAAGCGTCAGTCGTTTCTTTCTGTAATCATCAACAATTGTAAATTAAGCGTTAGATGAAGGAGCTTTTAAAGTTATAGTTTTAAAAATAGTTTTTCTAAAGAACTTAACTAATTGATTAGTATGATGAAAGATCTTAACTAAGTCTTTAAACCCACCTCTTCAATTGTTGTCTTTTCCCGAATCTCAGCGCGAATTTTGGCTGTAGTTGATGGTTGAATGGGGCTCTAAAACAAAAAAAAATGTTTAAATCAATATTTTAGCATAGATAAATTTGTATCTGTGCAAAAATGAGAAAATTCGATTTTTGAACCTTTTTATTTAAGCTCCTTTTATCTAGGAAAGTCATTTCAAAAAGAATTTTCTGAAATTTCTTTTGTCTAGAATTTTTCTTTAGTTTTCTTTATGCCTTATACATAAAAGTTAAAGTTAAACAGTACTTAAAAGGATTTAAAATCATTTCTAATCATTTCTAAACATTTCTAAACATTCCTAAACATTCCTAAACATTCCTAAACCTTTCTAAACACTTCTAATCATTTCTAAACCTTTCTAATCATTTCTAAACATTTCTAAACATTTCTAAACCTTTCTAATCATTTCTAAATATTTTTAAACATATAATTCAATGATGAAGACATTTTTATATTTCTTTAGCGTACTGTAAACTTACTAAAGTGCTTTCCGTGGGATTTGTGCTCATTTCAGTCACTTTTTGCTCAACTTTTTTTAACGTTTTCTCAGTGGTTGATGGATTTGTCGAGGATTCATTGGGCTAAATATTTTTTTGATAAAGAAATTTCGAATTTTTAAACCATCTCCGTCTTTAGCTCAACGGGCTTCGGAGTGGCGAGGATCGTCGCTAAGTTTGTTTTACTCGACTCGACGGTTGAGGTGATTGTCGGCAATTCCTAAAGAAGAGAAAACTTTGAAAAGCTTTCTTTTCGAAAGAAATTTCCATCTTTAAAGCTAGATAAGCTTTTTGTAAGCTTGCAAATTATCAAAAAACAGTAGTAATTTAGTTTTTTTTGAATAATTAAGTATTATATTTGATTTATTCAAAAAAATCCAAGCAATCAAACAAAATAAAGAAATGAATCCTTTTGAAATCCTATTTTCTCTAATAGTAGTGCACCACGCAGCGAGCCGAGTTGATGCCTATTTTACGGTTTTCAAAGTTTTCCCAGAAACTCAACACTCTAATCCCCCAAAAGATCTCATCATCGGCTACATTTTCCGACCCCACATCGATAGATTCTGATAAGCGATTTTTGAGTTTCGAGGAATTTAGATAAAGCTTACGGTGCACTACGATTAGAGAGAATACGTTATCCACCTTTATCCACTGTTCAACTTATACATAACTCTTGAAAGGCATTGATCGTTGTTTTGTGGAATGACGAAAGCTGGCCAATGAAAGGAAATAATCGTTTTTGATGGTTGCGGTTTTATGTGAAGTTTTATGTGTACTGTATTTCCTCTAAGAGTAGTGCACCACGCAGCGAGCCGAGTTGATGCCGATTTTACGGCTTTCAAAGTTTTCGCAGAAGCTCAACACTCTAATCCCCGAAAAGATCTCATCATCAGCTACATTTTCCGACTCCACATCGATAGGTTCTGATAAGCGCTTTTCGAGATTTCGAGGAATTTAGGCAAGGCTCAGGGTGCACTACTATTAGAATTGTTTGGATTTGGGGAGGTGTTCTTTGTGCGCGCGAGCAATCGTTCTTTATCTGGCCAACGGTCCTAGCATAAGGTGCTTTCCTTGGAGTCCAGGACAGCACCTGGAATTGAAGAATCACGTGCAACCTTGCTCTCCCATTATTTCCGACGGTATTCTCTCAGAAATTTCCCTTTTCTAGAGTTGCACTTTTTTGGAAAATACGATAATTGTTTGGATTTGTGCAGAGATCTTTGGTTTTTTCCTTGTTTTCGCTCTGGATTTAACGCCAAAAACTTTTGAATAAGGTCTCTTTTGAATTTAAGATATAAACATTAAAATTCGAGAATTTATAAAGATTTTTCAGACTTGAATTTACTTTTGAATTGAACTTGAACACTTATTTATGTGTTTGGAACAAAAATTTCACTCTTTTGCATGAATTTTCGTTAAGCAACCCCATTATTTATACTTTTACTGTAACCAAACGAGTTACTTGCGGGGGGGTGGTCCCTTTTGAGGGGAATGCGGTCGGCGCCGGATTCGACCCGCGCGTTCCCCGCGCCAAGCGACACCGCGGCGGAACAGGATGAAAGCCACAATTTAACTGACTTAACACTGACTTAACAGCAAGGAAATGAACAAATCTTAGACAATATATAACAAAAAATTTAGCAAACGTTTTTCTCTTACCTTTTCAGTCGCTGTGGTCGACTCGATGATCAGTTTTGACTCGGCCCACCATTGTGATGTGATGGAGTTGACGAAAAGTAACGACAAAAAGATCAACCGCATTTTTGAGAAGAGATTGGTTCTGGAAAGATGAGCTGATGATCTGGACTTGGACTGTGGCACTGTAGGAAAAGAGATTCAACTCAATGATAGAGATTGACACCATTGGGAATTGAAAAGAATGGTATTGCAAGTCTCAGTACAGTATGCCAAAGCTACAGTAACCCTGGACTACTGTCTTCCGCAGTTACAGTATGCTAGAGCTACAGTAAGTCAGGGTACAATAAGCCAGAGCTACAGTACCTCTGAACGACTGGATTCCATAGCTACAGTAACCCTGAACTACTGTCTTCCGCAGCTACAGTATTCTACAGTAGGTTAGAGCTACAGTCTTACATAGCTACAGTATGCCATATATCAGAGCTACAGTAACCCTGAGCGATTGTATGCCATAGCTACAGTATGCTAGAGCTGCAGCCTGTCACGACAATATACCACAGCTACCGTATCCTAGAACTAAAGGATTTTTGACCTACAGTATGCTAAAGTCATAGTGAATATCATTGGGAATTGAATATGAATGTAAACTAAGTACAAGCATTATACAATTAAATAAAATTCTAATAGAATAGTGAGGTAAAAGTTAAGACTTAGAAATACAGTAATCTCCTACAGGCAATACAAATAATAGAAAAGGTTTCTACTTATGAAATCAATTCAAAAGCTTTAACACAAAGAAGATAAGAATAAAATTGAAAAGAAATTAAAAACAAAATCAAAAACATTTTGATAAAATAGCGAAAAGATCATAAAATATTCAGAAATCGAAAAGATTTGGAAAAATCTTCACGTAAAGTCTTCTCAAGTGTGATGCGATAGCGGAAGCGGGGAGACTGTGAGTGCGCGGACGGCCATCGCTTATAAGTGTCGCCGGGAGAGTCCACATTGTTCTCTTTTTCTCTTCTTTCCACCATTTTCTATCCACTGACCACTCCCTAAGGCTAAAAAAGACTGCGAAATGGCAAACATCCGGAATCGGCACTTTTTCTCATCTTCTTTAGGCCAGACTTTGAAATCAAGACTCTTGACAAAGCCAAGAACTTTTGAATCTGTTCTATAGTATTGTAGCACTGTAATCTGTAGGACTGTAGGGCTGTAGGACTGTAGGACTGTAGGACTGTAATCTTTAGTGCTGTAGGACTGTAGTACTGTAGTGCTGTAGGACTGTAGTACTGTAGTACTGTAGGACTGTAGTACTGTAGTACTGTAGGACTGTAGGACTGTGGTACTTTAACATCATAGCTTGTAGCCTATAGTACTACGGTATCTATAGCTTTATAGCACCGTAATCTGTTGTATTGTGTTACCGTAGTGTTCTTGGAGACTTAAAGTACTGTAGTATTGTAATCCTTTCTCTGGATTACTGTAGGATTCTCAGTGGTGCGCTAGATGAGATGCGTTTACGAAATAAACTCCTCGACATTAACTCCTCTGATCATATGGTAATTGCGAAAATGAATTTTAGCTAGAGCTTAGCATACAATTTGTAAAAGAAGCAGCAATAAAGCACTATTACAATCTTCTTTTTTATCTTAGTTTGCAAGAGTAAGTACTAAATATGGAAAAATTTCAAGTCGAACCTAATTCCATCTTCGTTTTCTCAAAGGTTTCTTCCTCTGACTTTTTCTACAGATAGAAATCAACGTTTTCAGCTCGTAGACAAAATTTTAGAGTAATCAGCCGAGAAAACGAAGATGGAATTAAGTTCGACTTGGCATTTTTCCCATTTCTTGCAAGTACTGGACCGTGCTGTGGACTAGTAATAGAAGCCGAGTACTGTAGACTTGCTTCTAGCCATTTCCTAGCCCAAGAAAGCAATCAAAACAGTACTGGACCGTGCTGTGGACTAGTAATAGAAGCCGAGTACTGTAGACTTGCTTCTAGCCATTTCCTACCCCACAAAGGCAATCAAAACACGGAATCTTCTCGTTTTTCTAATCCTCAGTCATTCTTTTTCCTCCAACCACTCCCCATTTTCTTAATCGGATTATTCCGCGCGGCTCGAAATAAGACCAAAATAAAACGCTATCGTTGACCATTTTTTCTTTAATCATCCTCATTCACTTCCTGGCAATAGTCAGGAAAATTTAGCAATTTTGCAACATTAAAACATTAAAGTACAGTGGAACCTCTCTATAACGTAACTCACGGGACGGCTATAGCTTACGTTATATAGAGGTTTACGTTATATAGAGTGCCGTTTTATATAGCTTAACGTCGGCCGGGACCGGTCACGCCTTACGTTATAGAGAGGTTTACGTTATATCGAGGTTCGTTATAGAGAGGTTCGACTGTATATGAAAATGATGATTTACCGTAGTACCAATAGAATTTTAATATTCCTAGCCAAGTTCCTATACCAATTTTCCATTCGTTTAATCGAAATTGATCTCCAGTGAGAAATTCTTTGATCTTTCCTTTTGAAAAGAGATATTTGTCGACAAAAGACTAGTCTTTCCTTTCACAATTCTATTCAAACAAAAAAAAATCGCAACATTTGAAGATTGTTCACTTCTGTGTCCATCGAAGTGACCATTGAGACAAGTCGTTCAATCCAGTTTCCTCAAGTGAAAAGGGAAATTTCTGAGAGGAAACCGTGGGAATCAATGGGAGCACATGAGCTTAAGTGATTTTTCAATTCCTTCTGTTTCTCCGAAGTCCAAGGAAAGCACTTTATGCTAGGAGAAAAAAAATCGTACTTTTTGGGTAGTTTCTTGAGACAAAGCTCTAAAATAAACTCCGCTGATGGATTCAACGACCCTGAAAACCCCAAAGCAAAAATTTTCGGAGCACATGAGTGTAAGTGATTCTTCAATTCCTTCTCCGAAGTCCAATGAAAGCACTTTATGCTAAGAGCGTTTGCCAGATAAAGAGCGATTTTACGCGCGCACAAAGAACACCTTGCCAGTCATTTTATACAGTGATTTGCAAATGATTTCCAAATAAGATTTAGTCTTTAAAGTGTGTGCCTCGAGGTTTCCAGGGTCGTAGAATCCATTAGCGGAGTTCATTTTAGATCTTTGTCTCAAGAAACTACCCAAAAAGTACGGTTTTTTTCAATTCTATAAGCAAAAAAAAATGTTTCTAGAAAAACACGCACACGCACTTTTGCACTTTTTCTTTTCCTTTTCCATCTACCGCGGAAATTCCCCCTTTGTGAGTAAATATTGTCCCAAGAAAAGCGATGATTGTGTGGCACTGGAATCGACCAACATTTGCATATTCTTTTCAACCAATGTTTTTCTTCTTTCGAGAAACAGGAATCGTTGGAAAGTGCAAAATACTTCAAAAAAAGGAGGAAAAAGATAGAGTCTAGTGGCTGCAATGGGACGTGGAAAATAGAGGAATGTACGGCTAATCGTAGAATTACACCAAGAAAGCCATCCGTAATCCTGTCTCGAAAATCACCGTAATCTTGGCTTGAAAACTACCGTATTGCTGGCTTGATAACTACCGTATTCCTGGCTTAATAACTACCGTAATCTTGTGTTGAAAACTACCGTATTCCTGGCTTGAAAAGTACCTTATTTCTGGCTTGAAAGCTACCGCAACCCTGCCCCGAAAACTACCGTATTCCTGGCTTGAAAAGTACCTTATTTCTGGCTTGAAAGCTACCGTATTCCTGCCCCGAAAACTACCGTATTCCTGGCTTGAAAGCTACCGTAACCCTGCCTCGAAAACTACCGTATTCCTGGCTTGAAAGCTACCGCAACCCTGCCCCGAAAACTACCGTATTCCTGGCTTGAAAGCTACCGTAACCCTGTCTCGAAAACTACCGTATTCCTAACTTGATAACTACCGTAATCTTGGCTGTAGAAAAATTTCAACTTTGGGTGACTTTTTGAGGAGGATCGTTGCGCTAGAAGGCGTGCGTTTACAAAATTAATTTTTGCTCTATTAAGCTAGCAAGAAAGTTCATAAAAAAAGTTTGCACGTTGATTTCTCAAAAACAAAGCCATCAATTCTTCCCAGATTTTTTTGATAAACTTGATTTAGATTTCAAAAAGTTTTAGACAAAAAAAGCAGCGTGGGCTTCTGGCAAAAAATCAGAGATTTCTTCAGCTGAAATGACTTGGTCACTTTTATGAGTGATCACTTTTAAGTGATTGATCAACCTTTAGACAAGTTTTTAATGGGTTAATGAATAGGTAATGGATTCTATTCAAAACCTAAAACAAAGTACTTAAAATAAGGAAAATTTGTGTTTAAATCAAATTTGATCTAATGCTTTCACTTTCCCAGAATCACCAGAATTCTGAAAAGTTAAATTGCCAAACACTTGCCAAGATGACACCAAAAAAAAAGGATTTTTTGAAATAAAGCTTTTCTGTAAAAAATTTTTTATCAAAAAAATAGAGATTATAGAGTGTATTGCTGCTTTATGCTAGCTTTACTTTATAAAGAATCTCTTTGTTCTTAAGAGTAAACGGATATGGACTAGAGATTTGGGTTAAGTTAAAGAGAGTGGATCCCTTTTGATATCCTACCATCTCTAAACATCTCTATCACCCCGACAACTCGACTCAACTCCTCCAAAGTATTAGAGGCGAGTCCCTGTAAAATGACTGACTTGAAGCAAAAAAATAGAGATTATAGAGTGCATTGTTTATTTATGCTAGCTTTACAGAATCTCTTTATTATAAGAAATCTCTTTGTTCTTTAGAGTAAACGGATATGGACTAGAGATTTGGGTTAAGTTAAAGAGAGTGGATCCCTTTTGATATCCTACCATCTCTAAACATCTCTATCACCCCGACAACCCCGACTCAACTCCTCTAACGTATTAGAGGGGTGTCCCTCTAAAATGACTGACTTGAACTGCAGTTGCAAAGCAGATATATATATCTTTATTTCTAGTAGTACGATAAGTCGAATAGCTTACAAATTAGTGAAAGGCGAAGGGGGACTTCAAGTGAGAGCCAAGAGCCACACTTTTTCTCCTAGGCAATTTCAAGGATTGCCTTTTCTCGGCGATGAATGGGATAAGCACAGAAGAGATCACATTCACATAAGAATAGATAAATCATTTAATAATAACAATAGTAATTAAAATATGGGTTTGGCTTAGAGGTGAAAAATCTGTTGGAAAAAGTGAGCTGAAATTTAAGCTAAAAAATAGAAATTTTTTTAAATCACATTTAATTTTAAATTTTTAAATCTAAAATTTTAAGGGAAATTTTTACTTATTTTTTTACAAGTAATTCTTGGAGTCAACTTTTAAATAATAGAAAAGAAATGTTCTCAAATTGGTGGTTTCGTTTCTAAAAGAAATTCGAGTGAAGCCTTTTTCGGGAACTTTCTTTCCAATTCCGGGAACTCTTTGGTCTTGAAATGTTACACCAACGCCACCTTATCATCGATTTAGTGGAATGCTTTAAAATTGTTAAAGGCATTCATCCGGACTCCCTTTTTTCTGGTCTCTTTGAATTCGGTTCTCTAGGCGCATCCAGAAGGAGGCCTTTTCTTTAATAGGAAAGTTAGTTTTAATATGAAAGTCAAAGAGATACTTGGTTGAATACTTTTCTCATACGCCAACCTTGACCTCGCTAACCGCCAACCAACCCGTTTCCTCTAAAAGCCCCCACAGTTTCTTTTTTAATCGAGTTATTAAATTGTGGAAGTTATTTATCGAGTTATTTACCCCCTCATGTTCGTGATATTCTCACCTTGGCTAGATTTAAAACCGGCAATTTCTAGAATTTCGGCAATTCATTTGACTGCTCTGTGATTCTTTCTTGAGGTACACTACTGGACAATGAAATATCATATTTGTAAAAACACTTTCCCACCTTCGCGCGTCTGTAACTCCCTTGTCTTTATCGCATTTCTAAATATTAATATTACCATTGTGTAGCCCTTGAAAAAAGCTTTCAGAAAATGTATAACACTAATAGTTTAAACTCAAAGACAAGGGAGTTACAGACGCGCGAAAGTGACGATCGTTTTTCAAATGTGTTTACCTTTAAAATGCTTTTGAAATGCTAATTCAACATTCTTCCAGCTTTATTCAACATTTATTTTCAAACTATCAACCAATCTAAAAGTGAAACTTGATAAATCTAGTATCCAGGAGCTGTTCTCGGCGGTGGACAATCTAAAATTCAGATTGATAACTATTGGGTTGTCCAGTTATGAATGCGCGCTTTTGTAAATTTCTCAAGATATCGAACAGATAGAAATGAGTGTTATATATCATTCGAAAGCTGAAGATCACCTCTACATTTTGGAATAAAAAAGTTTTTGAATTCATTCAACTTTTTGGGAAACTGACTGCACAAAGGGAGAGGTCGTTTTCGAAAAAACCCATTTCAGCTTAGCTATTCCTCAAGTTTTATGGTGTAAAATAACCACCCAGAAAAGAAAAGTAAAGATGCTCTGAAATTGTTGTATTTTTAAAAAAGTTTTATTGATATATCTATTGGCCAAACATCAAACGGTTAACTCAATTTGAGCGGAGCCAAAACTTGATCCAAAGGCACCCTTCCATTTTTTGGCCACCTCTTCTTCTGTGCAGTCAATTTGCCCAAAAGCCGAACAAATTCAAAAACTTTTTGTATCAAAATGTAGAGGAGATCTTCAGCTTTCGAATAATACTCATATATATCTTTTTCTTGATTTCGGTATCTTGAGAAATTTACAAAATAGTAAAAAACGCGAATTCATAACTGGACAACCCAATATAATCGAAGAGATCTATTGGATTCAGATTTTGGAAACTTTTTGTATCAAAATGTAGAGGAGATCTTTTTGTATCAAATTCTATTGGATTTAGACATTGTTGGATTTAGATCAAAAAAAATAAACTACTTTAAGCCTTCCTTTATAGTAAAATACTCAAATTTTCCTTATTTATTGCAACTTTTGAATGAATTGAGCATAAAATTTTATTGTATTTATTATATTTCTTTAAAAAAAACACAATAAAGCAGCAAGAACCGGGGAAAAAAAATGACTAAAAATTTCTATAATATCGATATTTACATATGAAAAAGTCATGGATTTAACAAAAAAAATTTGAAATTTTACATTGCGATATGTAAATTATAAATAATAGATGATAATTTTAAAGAAAAAGAAAAAAAACGAGGATTGTGAATGTGGAAAAATGTGGAAAAATGAGCATCTTTGTACTGATTTTTTTTTACTCGGAAAGGAGATTTTTAAAGGCTTTTTTCGATGAAATTTCATATGTTTCATTGAAAATTTTTGCAGTTGTATATGAATTTTTGTTGAAACTCGAGTAACGAGTAAAAAGAAAGGGGAAAAGATTGAGAAGATTGAGAGAATTTTAAGCTCTAGAACTTCGAGAACCTCTAGAACTTCTAGAACTTCTAGAACTTCTAGACTTCTAGAACCTCTAGAACTTCTAGAACTTCTAGAACTTCTAGCCGTTTACAAGTGTCATTTATTCAATGCATTTTCAAGCTTTTCTTCATCTCTTTTTCCTTATTTCTCATGGGAATTTGATTGAAAGAGTTGCTTTGGATTACTCATACGACGAAGCTTTTGAATGAGAGCTGGTGGACGCGTGGAACGAGCGCCGATTGAGAGTGGGTGATCGTTTCGGAGATCGGCTGCTGCCTGCAATTCATCAATGGATTAAATGAATATCCTTATTTAAAGTTTGTAAACACACCATCTATGGCGCACGCAATTCTTCACTTTTCTTGGAAAGAACGACTGATTCTTTTGAGAAAGCGACAAAACGAAAGAACTTTCGAAATTCAGCTCACTAGAAACGATGTGTTTCGACTTTTTAAGTACAAAGTACACTTCAAAAAAGAAAACCAGATCAAAATTTGTTTCTTTTATCTAATCTAAAGTCTATTTTATCGATTTTCCATCAAAATTTCTTGATTTCTTGCAAAAATTTAGGAAAATTATTTGAGAGAAATCTAAGAAATCCAAAAAATTCCAATTCCAATTCTCTCACCTCTCCAAGAATCATTTCTACCGCTCGAATCAAGAAAGTTAGACAAAAACGAATTCCAAAAATGAAATCTTTAACTATTTTTACTTTAGAAATTCTCTTCTTGAAATGCTTCTTCAAAAATCCGTTTTTGTTTTGAAAATGAAAACTTTTCAAGAATCTTTGAGACAAAAAGTCAGGTAATCGGCTATTTCTCTCGACTAAAAGAAGTCAAATTCAATTTCTAGATTTCCCTTTTTATTACCTGAATCAGACGGAGTCTCTGACGATAATTCTTGGCTCTTGTGTGATCGTTGATCAACTGTTGAACGTAACTCGATGGAAACCATCCACCAACCCCATCGCGTACTCGTTCACCGTAGAACCAGCCTGGAGATTTTGTTTCCCAGATTTTCTTCTAGTTTAGTTCATTTCAAGTTTAAAATTGAAACTTATTGCTAGTTAGCTGCAGATTAAGAAAGTTTGGTGTGCCAGAAGGCACGCGTTTGCCGAGTGATCTCATCCTTTAGATTTCAAAGATCAAAGAGTAAGGATTACTCAAAAGTCAAAGATTAGGGTCGTTTTCTAAAAGGTGCTCTAGGAAAGTTACCGTAATCTCTAAGTCTCTAAGTCTACAGATATTCAGTCTTACAGTCCCAGGCTAAAGTCCCAGGCTACTGTCTCAGGCTACAGTCCCAGGCTACAGCCCCAGGCTAAAGTCGCAGGCTACAGTCCCAGGCTACAGTCCCAGGCCACTGTCCCAAGCTATAATCCCAGCTACAGTCCCAGGCTACAGCCCCAGGCTAAAGTCCCAGACTACTGTCCCAGGACTTGCTGATCTACAGTATCTTCAGCCACAGTTCCCATAAACTCTAGATATTCCACCAACCATCGGGCATCTTCCTCAGAATGTTCACATGTTCTCCAACTGAAAGATCCAGCTCATCATCTTGTGCTTTACTGTACGCGTGCATTGTCACCGCTTGAGGACAATCCCATTCCGCGTACACTTTCTCTTCAGGATTCGCACTCTGAAATGCTTGAGTTATTATCAAGAATCTAAAAACTGTTTTATTTATTACTCGTTTGTTTTATTTATTTTATTACTCGCTTGTTTCTTTGAAACAAAACTCACCGCTGGTGGCCGCATCGCGCTTAGCCAGCGCTCTCGATCACTTTCACTGTCTGCGGAAAGGAGCCACTCTAGAAAAGATAAAATAACTTTAAAGGGATAAAAGCAAGTAATCAATTCTCGGTTTTCTATTTACCCGATTGTTTTCCACGAGCATTTCGCATTAGAACACAAGAAAAGAGATGCGGTCGTGTGGGAAGTTGATGCAATAAACCGCAAGGAATCTAGAAATTTGGATTTAGATTCAGTTTTTTTGAAGTACAATAACTTGAGACACATTTTAGAGTACGGTATGGTAGAGGTAAGATGTAATTTAAAGCTTTTTAGAAAACAAATCTCAACCTTTGGATTCTCAGGTTCTAGCGGTGATGTATCGACGAAACGCCGCTCTGCATAATCCTGACAAACATAAGTGCCATTCCTAGAAATATCTTGATAATTACAGTACTTTGCTTTGTCTTTTGAGACTGTAGGACTACTGTAGGTTTACAATAGTCTAGAATCTCCATTCACTTACATCTTTTGCTTTGTGATTAGCAAGAGATCGCTGAAGAGAAAGAGATAGATGTGACGAGCTTTTTGACGGCTCTGAAATTGATTTTCTTTTAAATTAAAGAAAGATTACTGTAACTAATATCTGATATAGATATTTAATTTATAATTTACATGCAATAGACTTCTTGTGCCCTTTTCCGACAACTCGTAAAGACAACCCCGTTTGACGAGATGGCGATTCGCGGTCACAAGGGGAATACGTCTAAATAAAAGCTTATATAGATAATTACAGTACTTAGGATAACTACAGTACTTATCTATACTACAGTACTACAGCAAGAGCTCAGAATATCGGGCTTAATAGGCTGACTGAAAAGCTCCACAACTTTTTATTAAAACTTGATTTTAAAACGACCGAAGAAAGCTGAGGAAGGACCTCGTGAGAAAAACTTTAATAAAATCATCCTTAAAGTCACTAAGTAGCTAAATCATCACTTATAGTTAGCCTAGAATCATCCTTGCCTACTACTACACCAATCTCCAAACCAACTTGAGATCATTGTCCTTGTAGAGCAATCGGCGATCGACATCAAGAAGTTGCTCGGTTCTCTCCATCCTTCTCGCTCCCTCATTACAATTTGACACCACCTATAAAATCACAAATTCAAACAATAGTTCCAATATAAGCTTAAGAGTATAAACATCTCAATAAACTGCCTGACAGATCTAGCTCTAGTTGAATGCAAATCCTAATCGGTCTAGCACGCCTCAAAACATATTGTTGGATCAGTCAGGTTGATTGTTGATTATTAGATTGTTGAATCTAATAATCAACAATCAACCAGGCTTAGATTACTATTAGATTGTTATTAGATTGTTGATTACCAGCTAGATTTATATGGAAATGCACTTGATACTCACTAAAGATCACTAGATTCAGAATCATCTAGTACTAATGGATCTCAAGATTATAACTTTGTAGAGATTACAAGAATGTAGAGTTGGACACTGGCTCTTTGATGAGTTGGAGCTGGAAAACATGGTCAGCGCCGGGGTTCGAACCCGTGACCTCTCGCTTATTCTAGATCCTAGATTCTAGATTCTAGATTCTAGATTCTAGATTCTAGATCCTAGATTCCATACCTGATTAGCTAACGCCAGTGTCCTTGCCGCAACTCGATGACTCTCCGATCCAATTGGCTGTCGTTCCAAAATTGCATAGATCAAAAGTGGATATCTAAAAGACATAAACTATTTAGATATTTAGTTTTTATATCTAAATATCTTTTAAGAAATAAAGCTTTTAAATCTGAAAAAGCTAACCTTGTGATTCTTTGCATTGGTAGCATCAAAAACGATCGCATATCAAGACCTTGACACTGAAATTTTACAATATTAACTTATCAGCAAGCAAAAGTTAAGCGGTTAAATCAAAGTTTCTATCTAAAATTATCCATTTATTTAGTTTAATTTTAAAATTTTTACTTGTTTATCCGCTTCTAAGCGACTCACAGCCGCCAGAAAAGCTGAGCTCTCTGTTTTGAGGCGTCGAAGTGTTCGATCTTGATAAACCTATAAAAAAATAGGTTTATTTTTTAGTGTACAGTGATTTTATTCACCTGATTACTGCAATATTTGATATAAGCATCGAAATTTGTGTCGAAATGTTGCATAAGAATGTCACAGATACAATCCAAAACAAGCGACTCATCGAGACGAGTTTCGAGATCGACAAGAAGACTGAAATTTGCATTTATCTTTATGATCTTGATCTTCTTTATCTTCTTTATCTTTTTTATCATCAGCTATACAAGCTATTGAAATAATAGCTTACCGTAAATACTGTAATAGTACCCCACCCCCCATAATGACGGTGCGGAGCATTGCGTAGTATAGCTTTGAACGAGTTTTTCTCGACACTGGTTTCTGCTACAATGCGCGCTTAGATATCAAAAAATAGCCCTGAATTTCAGCTATTTTTTGATACCAAAGACGCATTTTTTGAAAGTATGGGCGCTTTGAAAAAAAATGAAATACTAAAAAACTTTTGCGACTACGCGACTGTACAAGGGCGGTGGGGTACTATTACAGTATTTACGGTAATATTTTATTGATATTATTCAATCACCGTTCACTTGAGTCTCTAACGGCAAAAATGTTACTGAAGAGATGCTTCCGATCATCGTTTGATATCACAGAGACACTGCTTTTTGAACCTAAACAAATCTTAAATCTTTAGCAAATAAATCTTTATCAAATAGATTTCCTTAAATCTAAAAACTTAAATTTACAAAATTATACGATACTTGAACATCTTTTCCCACCCACTTTACATATCGAATTGCAAATTTACATTTAACTAGTGACCGGGAAAAGATGTACAAGTATTTCCGGGCTACTAGTCCACTTTTCCCCACCCACTTTGCATAAGATATACGCTCAAATTAGCATATACGCTCAAAGAACAGTATAACAAGCAAGCACTATATTTTTATTTTATTTTCTATTTGATACATGTGACTGGTAAACAACTAGCTTTTATGTAAATTGAGTTCTTATGTAAAGTAATGTTATAGTAAGTAATGCAAAATTGATTGAATTGAATGAATGGATTGGATTGATTGAATTGATGAATTTGGTTGGATTGATTGAATTGATTGAATTGATTGAATGGATTGGATTGATTGGCTTGATTGGCTTGATTGGATTGATTGGATTGATTGAATTGATTGAATTGAATGAATGGATTGGATTGATTGAATTGATTGGATTGATTGAATTGATTGAATTGAATGAATGGATTGGATTGATTGAATTGATTGAATTGATTGAATGGATTGGATTGATTGAATTGATTGAATTGATTGAATTGAATGCATGGATTGGATTGATTGGCTTGATTGGCTTGATTGGATTGATTGGATTGATTGAATTGATTGAATTGAATGCATGGATTGGATTGATTGGCTTGATTGGCTTGATTGGATTGATTGGATTGATTGGATTGATTGAATTGAAAACTTTTCGAGTTCGAGACCCGGCGGCGCACAATTTTTTATCTCCCCTAGTTCCCACTGCGACTTAACTCCCTCTGGAGTGAGAGAGATCAAGTGCGTGGTGGTGTGATGGCTAGTACGTTTGCCTGCTAAGCAAAAGGTCGCGGGTTCGAGTCCCGGTGGGGCACAGGTTTTGATCTGTCCAAGTTCTATCTCATCTTGGAAACTTGATTGAATTGATTGGCTTGATTGAATTGAAGAACTGACAATGCTAAAAACCTTGTCAGTTGTCAGTGTCAACCTCAAGAAAATCTCCACTAGATATCGGTGTCCGAACTTTTCTCCAAGTTTACTAAAGATTAATTCTATGTCCATCGATTTTTAGTTTTAAAACTAGTATTGTCTAAGCGTATGTTAATGAGATGGACAATAAAATAAAGTAAAAAAGGCAAAGAAAGATGGCAAGAATTTCCGGAAAGGGGAGATGAACCGTCGATCTTTTGCTGTACAATTGCTTTAATCACTGAGCTATTCGGTACCTTAATTCGCGAAGAGAAAGAAGGAAAGATAAGGAGGAAGAAGAAAGAAGGAAAGATAAGGAGGAAGAAGAAAGAAGGAAGAAGAAAGGAGGAAGAAGAAAGAAGGAAGAAGAAAGAAGGAAGAAGAAAGAAGGAACTCACCAAGCATCGCTTTGTCAGCCATAAAATGCGTGATCAAAATGTTCAATGATCGGAGATAACTTGCTTCACTGGTTATCACCTAGAAAAAAACTCTTTGAATGATCTTTGTGTGCTCAAAAATTGTAAACGAATCCCTTCTAATGCACTGAATTCTTTAATTATTTTAAGAATCATTGAACTTACCTCAAAATAAGCCTCTTGTAGCTGTTTAGTCTCCTCGTCGAGTGTTTCCAAAAGGCCAGCATTTTTCACCTAAATTTTAATATTCATTTTAGATTTGAACTGTTTAAATGATTAAATACTAAGCATTAAATAGTTATTTATTGTTTTTTCTAAAGCTTTTAAAGCTCACCTCAGGCAATTCACACCATAAACTCCGCTGACTCCCATAGCGAACGCTTTCAAGTCTATCTCTTCTAAAAAGAGAGATTTATCTTTATAGCTTTATAGCTTTATAGCTTTATAGCTTTATAGCCTAAATAGCTAACGAGGCTTTATTTCACCTCAACGAAGTACTAGAAGTCAATGCTGATGATGAATGTGTGGTTGAATGGGAGCAATCAGCGCGTAAACCGGAATCCGAGGATGAAGAAGAAGACTCGCGGCGGAGAGTCTAGAAAAATCATTTTGATCATTTGAATCAATGATTGAGACAAACAAAAATAGGAAAATATTCTAGTCAGCTTCAAAACCAAATCCAAAACTGACTTCCCTTGACCAGACCTAGATTTAGCTCAAAAACTAGCCAGATCAGGATTGCAGGACATTTGATGTCCTCTTGCAATTGCCAAGACAACTTTAAGCTCAAATTTCTTGGCTTTAGGCTGCCCAATTTGAATAGTTTTTATGCAGATCGACAGAGAAAGACTTGGCGCATCGAATGATATCAAGAATATTGAAATTGGACAGTCCAACACCGAGATATTGGAGCTTAAAGTTGGGTTGCCGGGCGACACCGAGATCAAATGTCCGCTAACGCCAGAAGTCAGGCCTTGGTCAGCCTTGGTCAGTCAACCTAAGCCTAAGCCAAAGTCAGGCCTTGGCATGGCTCGTTTGTAAGCTTGATCCACAAAGCATCCAAGATTCTGACAGAAGCTGGATCTGGCTGACCAAATTTTACTTAGCCTGCTTATTGGCTAGACTAGAACTGAGCCTGGACTGGTTTACAGGCTCAAGTCGTCCAGCTTTCCGTCCAGCCAGGTCCAGCTTCCCTGCTCAATCAGAATCAATTCTAAAGCTAATCCTGCTTGAGCTAACGAATTTCCTTTTTGAGAGCTAGTCCTTTGCTCGAAAGATGATTTAAAGCTCACCGTTGCTTTCGCCGAATCGCCCGTTCGTCTCACCTCGCTCAACTGAGCCTCAAGAATTTTCTCTTGTTCAGTTAACATGTAAATCTAGAAAAGAAATGAGATAAATATAAAAATGATATCGATTAAAACGATATTCTTGATTAAAGAACACAAAGAACAAAGCTTTCACCTGATATAATGGTTGTGAATTCTGTAAACGAGACGATAGAGATCTTGCTTCAAAATATTTTCCGTTTTCAATATCCTGAAAGTTTTAAGACCTTAAAATTGAATGAATCAGCATAAAAACTAAAAATTTATGATCAGAAAATTCTTTTGACTGGAATGGTGATTGTGTTTTGCTCAAAGTTGTAATTGTACACTTTTTCAAACGCCAATTCAAATACAATAAGAAGTACTTGAGTTATAGCGTCTATTAACTAATAGGTTGATGCATAAGTGTTTTTGTTCCTTTTCGTCTGCCGTTTCAAGCCAACAAATGCACCAATTAAACTACGGTTGATTTCATTAGAAAAACCAATTATTTTTCTGCAAAATAACATTAAAACGGGTTTAGAAATATTGAATGCCTGGATTTTCTTGAGAGTATGAAGTCGGGTAGTCAAAAAGGGCTAACTCGATGATGCGGTTTAGACACCTTAGCTAAAGAAAACCTATCTTCGTGTCAATAGATAAAAGATAGAGAAAAAAACGTTTGATATTTCGCCAAAATTTCAGAGAAATTCATTCAGCCAATTTTTCCGTAGAGTTTTTTATAGATTTTTACGAAAAAGGCGTTTTTCACTCTCGAATTTGCTTGAAAGTCAACACCGAAATTCATTTAAAAAGATGCAAATTGAACAAAAAAAAACACTTTTTTTATAGAGCAAACTATAGATTAATTGGTGAATTTGTTACTTTTTAACAGAAGTACGAAAAAAACGAAAAGACTTATGCATCAACCTAATAGTAGGATGTGATGATAAGCATAGACCATTCATTTTCTGTGTACGGAGAACAGTAAAAAAGGAAAACAAAAGTTTTGCCAAGAAAGGAATCGAACTAAAGCAAAACATCAGGCCCTCGTTTTGTAGGCAAGGGTCTTATCCACTAGACCACCAATCCATGTTGATCGCCGTTGAGCGAAGTCTTATAAAGCCTATTCAAAGAAAAGAGAGAAGCCAAAGCGGCGTCAAATTTTTCACTCTAAAACTTTAAACAAATAACTTTTTCTAGAAAGTTATATGGCAAAAACGGAAAGCAGATTCGGAATCAGCGTGTAATTCTGCGTTACATGATTTACAGCTTATCTCATTTGGTCAAATCCTACTCTTGCTTTTCTCTTGTAAAGATTAGCGTTCAGTTTAACAAGAAAAAGCTTTAAATCACATTTTTCTTTCTTAACTTTTCTTAACTGAGTGCATCTGAAAGGACTTTCAAAGGATAAAGTCCACAAAATTTTCACCTCATCTTTAACGCTCACTCCATCCAAGCCAATTGTCATTTCCTGAACTTCAGGCGAGAAACAAAGATCCTCATTCTCTTGAGCACACAAAATTGTTGAACTAATCGTTGAGCATTCTGTAAATGACAATAACTATTGTTAGAATTTGATACTTTTCGCAAAAAAATCGTGCAAAACCAAGGCACAAGGCAACTAACCAGGGAACCTTCCCAAGTTACCCTCGAGTTACAATATGAGGTAGGTGCAAAAAGAAAGGCCTGAAAATGTACGTTCAGAAACCGTTTTCAAGAACCGCTAATCGGCAAAACGCACAAAGTTACCGCCATTTGAATTTCGAAAAAATGACGGCTTTTCTCGAATTTCTGGCACACTGATTTTTGCCGGCGGAAAGGCTTTCCTTCTGGCACACTGATTTCGCCATCCCAAAAGTCAGCTCGTAGCCTAGTGGTTAGCGTGCCTGCGCTGGGAACTCTGGCGGTAACTTTGTGCGTTTTGCCGATTAGCGGTTTTTGAAAACGGTTTCTGAACGTACATTTTCTGGCCTTTCTTTTTGCACCTACAGTACTGGACAATGAAATATGATATTTGAAAAACGATCGTCACTTTCGCGCGTCTGTAACTCCGTTGTCTTTGAGTTTAAACTATTAGTGTTATACATTTTCTGAAAGCTCCTTTCAAGGGCTACACAATGGTAATATTAATATTTAGAAATACGGTAAAGACAAGGGAGTGAAAGTGACGATCGTTTTTCAAATATCATATTTCATTGTCCAGTAGTGTACCACATATTGTAACTCGCGGGTAACTTCGGAAGGTTCCCTGGTAAGGCATTTTTCTCAAATACAACACAGATTTTGCACAAAAAAAACAACAATTTCCTCTACCATTTACACGTTTTTTAAAGAAGAACACAGTTTTTAGACAATTTTTGGACACTTTTATGGAGAAATTGGTGGTGATGGAGTGACTGAAAAGTGAGAAAATCGGGTAGAACTTTGAATAGAGTTCAGTGAGGAGTTAAAGGGAAATTTTGTAGAATCTAACTATTATAACGTTGACAAGGAGTACTGTAATAGGAGTACTAACTCAAGCACAGTCAATTGATTGAGCGCTGAGTGTTTTGAAAACTTGAAAAGAATCGTTTTTTGTCTATTTGCATCGTAAAGCGATCTCGGACTCTATTCAAAGTTTGATTCTTGTCAGTTATCCGTTCTTTTTAAATGAATAGGTTTTGAATTGAAGTTAAACTAAGCCTCTTCAAGCCAAGAAGTTTGTCTGAAAGTCTGAAAGTCTGAAAGCTAATTTGTCTGAAAGTTTAGATCATAAATTCAAGTTCTAGCTAAGAGATTCAACCAAATGAATAGCCTCAATCGATTCACCGACCTCGAAAGCCCCTAGATACAAATTTACAGCTCTAAATCTCATCTTAGAGCCATTTACAAACAAAAGAAATCCTGTATAAAGGTGTTCTTTGTGCGCGTGCATAATCGATCTTTATCTAGCATACAGCGCCAGTGTATAATGCTTTCCTTTCTCCTGAAAGACTGAAAAATCTTCAATAAACTATAGATAGTTAGGAAAATTCTGAATGAAGAACCGTTTAGAATAAGGGAGAAAGTATTCTTAGCTATCCTTGGCCAAAGCTTTCAGCCATTCTTGACCAAAGCTTTCAGCCATTCTTGGCCAAAGTTTTCAGCCATTCTTGACCAAAGCTTTCAGCCATTCTTATCCAAAGTTCAGCTCTATTCATTTAAAAACCCCGGATAACGACAAGAGCTTAAAGTTTACGGTAAAAGAGTGCTTGATTGATATTAGTTTTTGGGGAAATACGGTAATTTAGTTACCTGGTTCCAAGCTGGGAAAAGCCTCTTGAAGATGTGGCTCCATCACTTCATGAAGTGACGGTTGATGAAGATCTAGAAATGAAAAAAATATATAATATATAGATATTCTTTAACATTTAGCAAATAACTTTAGATTTGATTTTGAAAACGAAAAGAGTTTCGTATCAAAGTTGATGTGAATCACTGTGATTTCTGTGAATCGCATTTGCAAACAATCAAATGGCTTAGACTCCAGAAACTTTTCTTGCAAACACAAGCTTTCTAGTGCATTGAATTTAGTACAAATTGCTTGATGGAAACAAGAAATTCTTGACAGAGATTCAACTAGATATTCAAGCGAATTAATGTGCTAGAAAGCGTGCGTTTAAAAGGCAAGTTTAGAGCATAAAGTACGCTCAAATCTAGCTTACTCTTGCTATGCTCTTGCGTCAATTCTAGACAAAAATCAAGCAAAGTTTGCTAATTTACGTCAATTCTAGACACAAATCAAGCAAAGTTTCCTTATCTATGTGCACTAGAACGAGAATGTTGACAAGCCTTTTTCAGCACAAAGTACATCTTTATTGACCTAAATAGTTAGAGACTCCAATGCACTAGAAGTAATGCGTTTACAAGACAAATCTAGCGCATAAAGTACACGCAAACTCTATTGCTATCTCTTTTGCACTAGAAAGGGTATGTTTACAAGCCTTTTTGACCACAAAGTACACCAAAAACAAGTAAAGTTAACAAAATAAATTTTTAAAAAAGCGATTTTCTCTTAAACTAACCGTATTCTATATAAAAAAACTGACTTTTCCTCAGTTTTCCCTATCAAAAAAGGTGTCTCATCGTCTTTTTTTTGTTTTCTCTGCCATTAGTTTCCCGATTTCCTTTTTGCTTCTTCATTTTACACGAACAACAATAAAAGAAAGGCTTTTTTGCCTTTTTCCCTTTTCCCCTTTTCCCCTTTTCCCCTTTTCCCCTTTTCCCTTTTTCCCCTTTCCCCTTTTCCATTAAAATGCAATATTCGGCCCGAATGTTATTCCTTGTCCCGACGAAGAGTCACAAATGTCATCTCCATTTTCTTCCCCATTTTCTTTCTTCACCTTTTGTTTTTTTGTTGCTAAAAAATACGAAAAAGCTTAAACTAGATCTGGACTAGATAAGTATAAAATTTGCGTCAATTCTAGACAAAAATCAAGCAAAGTTTCCTTATCTACTCCTTCTGGAGATCCCTGTAACTTGTGCTTTATTTCTAGTCCACGGAAAAGTATTTTGTTTCGACCATTTTCAAAAAATCACTTTCTAGTCAATAAGAATGCAACACAAGCCAGCGAAAAAAGATCAGCGTTGGCCTAGAGGATAGTTTGCCAGACTATAAAGCCAGCCCGGCTTTTTGCCGTGGGTTCGAGTCCTGCCACTGACACTTTGAGCTAGCAGCAAGTCCCTTTCTAGCTCAAGTCTTCTAACGCTTCAGGAAACCGGGGGAGTGAATTCCGTGCACCAGAAGGAGGTGTTTTCATTTTTGAGCACAAGACGACTAAAAAACCGATTTTTTTGAAGATACCAGGTGATGCGATTTCCACCTCTCCGTCATCCGTCGACCAATCATCTCCATAAATGTACCTGAAATAGTTTGTTGGGTGTAAACTTGTTTACTTTCCGTACTGTTTTCTTTTACACGGCTCACTTGTGCACTAAAGGACTAGGAAAAGATCGAATTTGTATTGCTTACAAGTCGAATTTCGTTATAAACTAGAGAACAAGACGATCAAGGTAAAGCAGTAGTTACTCTAGAAGCTTTGCTCTAGCAGCTTTGCTCTAGCAGCTTTGCTCTAGCAGCTTTGCTCTAGCAGCTTTGCTCTAGAAGCTTGATAACATCCAACTGTCATAACTGGAAAGTCATAACTGCATACTACTTAATATTCCTAAAAGAGGGTTTTCAGTAATCAGAAGAAATGAATTCCCTTCACTCACTTATCATCCTCATTATTCATTCCCCCGTATCGATCGGTGTCCAATTTTTGAGCATTCAATGTGAAGCGCGCTGATCGCCGATTTTTCTCAGCCACCACCCTTTTGCGTAAGCGTTCCATCTGCAATTAAAAGAATTATTTTATAAACACTAATAATCAGTTATCATTATCAATAATAAGTAATAGATTTATCAGCTATGGATTTGAAAGATTGAAAGGAAAGAAAGAAAGAAAGAAAGAAAGAAAGAAAGAAAGAAAGAAATTAAGTAAGTTATAAGTTATCTATCAGAAGTAAAACTAGCTCTTTAACCATAGTTTTTTTGGATAAAATCTGAATGTGATTGAAATTTCTTTGTTTTTCTTTATTTTTCTTTATTTTTCTTTTTTTCAGTCGATTTCTAGTAAATAAATTTCTTTTCTCTTGTGAACAAAATGCCCTTTTAAAGCTCTTTTTGAACTTTCTCTTAGCAAAAATCAATGTAATGCATCAAATTCTGATCTTCTGTTTCTTTAATGAGAAATCAAAATGTCTGAAAAACGTGAAAAATCGATTTTTTTGAGATAAGGCTCAGGAAGGAAGAAAGAAAGAAAGAAAGAAGGAAAGAAATTAAGTAAGTTATAAGTTATCTATCAGAAGTAGTTAGATAACTCGATAATTCGATAAAATTAGAGCACTAATCAAAATTTGATTCATTTTTTTGAATCTCCATGTTGTCAAAAGGTTTTTTAACCTTTTTAACTCATTTTCTTTAAAAGTTATATTTTTATTTGCAATATTTGCAATTTGAACAAATTTTTCCCCATTAAAAACCCACCTTTTTCGAGAGATTTAGATGAAAATCACTCTTGAATTTGATCAATTTGTCGAACTCGATCGTGCTCACTGGACGAATTTTTCGGCCTAAAGCTCGTCCAAGAGTTGAACAATTGCGCTCTTGAAGGGATGGCTGAAAGCTTTTAAAAATCGATTTATTTAGAATAATGTAATACAAACAATACGAAAGCAGAGAAGCTCTAAATGCAACTCTAAATGCTCTAAATGTAGCTCTAATTTTAGCTTTAAATGTTGTTCTAAATGTAGCTCTAAATGTAGCTCTAAATGCTCTAAATTTAGCTCTAAATGTAGCTCTTAATATAGCTCTAAATGTAGCTTTAAATGTAGCTCTAAATGCTCTAAATTTAGCTTTAAATGTAGCTCTTAATATAGCTCTAAATGTAGCTTTAAATGTAGCTCTAAATGCTCTAAATGTAGCTCTAAATGTAGCTCTTAATATAGCTCTAAATGTAGCTTTAAATGTAGCTCTAAAAGCTCTAAATTTAGCTTTAAATGTAGCTAAAAGCTCTAAAGCTTTAATGTAGAGAAAAAAGAATCTAGAGAAATTGAGAGAAAAAGAAAAATAGAACGAATAATCTGATCAGAGGGTACGATCATATTATTCGCCCCTCTTATCAGCCCCTCTTACTAGGGCTGCTCTTACACAACCCTAGTAAGAGCTGTGTCTCTTGAGACAAGAGACACAGTTTTTACTAGGGAATCTTGTTAACTTATCGTGGCTTTTGACTCGAGAGATACCCTATCTGATGCAATTAACACATGAATATTTGTTACCTTATCATAAGTGCTCAATTCGTGTGTTGAAGTCGTCAATGTGCGTCGCGTCTTGCAATTCACGCAGTTACAAGATGATTTCATTGTGCTAAATTGTAGGTTTCAGTTATTTAAACTAGATTTTTATCTAATAGACTAATAGCTTTAGATTTTAGCTTTAGAAAGCTTTAAATAAAGATCAAGCTTAAGCCTTTAGATCAAGCTTAAGCCTCGGAAAATTCAAAGATTTTTGTTTTTTCGAAAATGATTCAAAGTCTTTTAAAATCTTTCTCATTTCTAATTTCAAATAATCTAAAAAACTCGTTTTTAGATTATAAATTTGAATTTGAATTAGATTTTAAACTATATTATAAAGAAGATCGTAAAGTGTAGAAGAAGATAAAGAAGATAGTAACTGTAAAAGCACTCACCAAATCTCTGCCTCTCCACCACAATAGATTGAGGTAACATAGTCAGAGTTACTCGTTGAGCCGGACGTCGAAGAACCAGGCTAAGAATTCATTTTCACAAAGCTTTCCTTTTGCTTACTTGAGAATTTGCTAGAAGATATAATAATGACTTTTATACTTGATGTACTTGTTGTACTTGATGTACTTGTTGTACTTGTTGTACTTGATGTACTTGATGTACTTGTTTAGTACGAGTTTAAAACCAGTGATTCTGGTTCAACTTCTGTGCTAGGCTAACAGTAAAGCAGTAAGCAGTAAGCAGTAAGCAGCAAGCAGTAAAGCAGTAAGCAGTAAGCAGTAAAGCTTTGGATTATCTTTAGACTAGCTTTATGCCTTTTTCGAATTATCCTATTGAATTGTATTGAATCCCTTGAATTGAATATTGAAACGATTTCTATTACCAATCAGCTAATCGACTCTTTTTCTCACCTGATTTCCCCTTTCAACGCCTCCGATTTCCTCATACAAATCACTCTCATCAATCGAAAGAACTCTCATTGTTGGCGTGGATTGTTGACTATTGATTGTGATTTGGTCACTTAAATTCCCATATTTCTTTTCATCAAATTGATCATCGGAATTTCGTGGAGAGATTTGCGGGGGTGATGGTGGACGAGTCTTTGGCCGAATCTCACTGAAAAATGGAAATGAAAATGATAAAGTATTCAGTGAAACAATAATTTCAATAACACGAGCCCAGCGCTCACTCAATCAAGTGCTCACATCAATGCTTACTAAAACCAAATTATCGACTGAAGTAGTAGAATTATTGTACAAATTGCTCTATTTAGTATTTCAAATGGTGTTTCGGAGTTGTTCACCGATTAAGGGCTAAAATAAACCCGGTCAATCGATTTCTTGGCCCCGAATACCCCCAGATACAAGTTTTTAGCTCTAAATCTCATCTGGGAGCCATTCTCAAAGCCAAAGAAAAATCCTGTCTAAAGTGGGGAGGTGGTCTTTGTGCACATGCACAATCGCTCGCCTTCTGGCACACGCTCTCGATAGATACACCCTTTTCGAATCCTCGGCTAGAGCGATCAGCGACCGAACTGGCTTCGTCTTTTTTTTGCTTGGTTATGCTCAAATGTTTATTTTGCCTTAAATTTGTCTGTATTTTTGTCACCAATTCGACATTTCTTTAAACTAAAGCTTCCTGATATACGCAAGGCTAAAACTGATGCGAAAAGTGTTGAGGCCAATAAAATGATATAGACGATAAGCTATTACCGGTATACAAATCTAGACTCAATCCACACTTCTACCGTTAACAGAAGGAACTTTTTAGTTAGTTCATTATCAAAATGTTCTCCAAAACTCACAGCTCAGCTTTCGACTTTCGGTGATTCGGCTCATGGTTAGGCGATTTCTCGGCAAAATTAAGCGTCGGGAGAGTTTTTGGTAATTCGGGTAAAGGGCGGATTGCAGAAATGACAGAATTTTGAGGATTTGAGAGGCGAGTTGATGAAGGGACTGGCGGTGGGGGTAATGAGGGCAATCTGGAAAAGGGGAAATGGTGTTAAATCTCAACAAAATCACCGCAAATTGTTAGATTTTTTTTTCGAAACCAACCTGGGCACGAATTCGTTTTGTCGCAGAAATGTGGGCATTTCTTCGTAGGAATCGAGGACTTGATAGACGGAGTCCGAGGAGATCGAATCGCTTCGGCACAATCTGGAATCACTTTTGTGAACAGGGTTGCTGAGCTACCTCTACGCTACAGATAGTACAGTACTCTAGAGACAGTACAGTACTCTAGAGACAGTACAGTACTCTAGAGACAGTACAGTACTCTAGAGACAGTACAGTACTCTAAAGATAGTACAGTACTCTACAGATAGTACAGTACTCTACAGATAGTACAGTACTCTAGAGATAGTATAGTACTCTAGAGATAGTGCAGTACTCTAGAGATAGTGCAGTACTCTAGAGATAGTGCAGTACACTAAAGATAGTAGAGTATTCTAAAGATAGTACAGTACTCTAAAAGTACTAGTAGCCATTAAAGTACTATTGATTACCGTATTCTTAGCTAATTTAAAGTTATCAAAACTTTCTCTGGGGAAAGATCGGCTAGAGATCGGCTAGACAAACTATTAGGTTGGCAACTAAATAATGGCCCTCGCCCTTTTTTGATAAAATCTTTTAATCTTTGCGTTTAATCTACCCTCGCTTGTTGTTAATTGAATATTACTGAATTTCTGGTGCATTATTATACGTTTTTTACTTTCCTTGATTTGATACTTTTCAAATAATTTTGTATAGAAATGGAAGATCTTAAATATCGAATGCGTGTCTGTCTCTGGTACGACTACAAACAAGACAAAACAGCTGCCGAATCCCACAGAGATTTATTGCGAGTTTTTGGTGATGAAGCTCTTTCCGAAACACAATGTAAGGGATGGTATCGACGGTTCAAGGAAGGGGATGAAAGTCTTGAAGATGAGCCTCGCCAAGGACGACCCGAACTTCTGCAGAACGATATTTTGGAAGCAGCTTTAAAGGAGAATCCAAGTCAAACATCACGCGAGCTAGGGGATCGATTGGGCTTTTCGCATACCGCAATCGAAAAGCGACTTCATGCATTGGGGAAAAGTAACCGCAGTGGAAAGTGGATTCCGCATGAATTGAGCAAAGAAAATAAGGCTACTCGTGTTATCACAGCTGAAATACTACTAAAACTTGCGAAAAAGGGAAGCTTCTTGGATTCCATTGTCACTTCTAATGAAAAATGGATCTTTTATCATAATCGAACGCGAAAACGACAGTGACTTAGCACAAACGAAGACCCAAAACCAACTCCGAAGCCGGATATTCACTCAAAGAAAACTCTCCTCTGTGTGTGGTGGAGTTCTCGTGGGTTGGTGCATTTCGAGGTTCTCAAAAGCCGGCAAACGGTTAATTCAGAACTCTATTCGTCTCAACTACATCGTGTAGATCAAGGAATTCGCTCTCAAGGACTCGAACCCTCTTCAATTCATTTTCTCCATGATAACGCAAAACCACACACTGCAAAACTTACAATGGAGAAAACCGAGGAGTTGGGCTGGAATATTCTTCCTCATGCGCCATACAGCCCGGATATGGGGCCTAGTGATTACCATCTTTTTCGATCGATGCAACACTTTCTAGCCGAGAAAAAGTTCAAAGACCTTGACGAAGTCCGAATTTCAGTGCAGAAGTTCTTTGACGATCAACCAGAAGAATTTTTCAAGAGAGGAATCCAGTTGCTCCGTCAAAAGTGGAAAGAAGTAATAAAGAATGACGGAGAATACCTTTTGGATTGATGTTGATATTTGTTCATCTTGTTAATAAATTTTTTGTTTTTACTGAAAAGGGCCATTATTTAGTTGCCAACCTGATAGACAAACTCTTTCAAAGGTACAGTACTCTAGAAATAACAAAAGCACTACAGTACTCAGTTATAAGAGTTACATTTTAATAGTTTTCCTTTTAACTAATTACCCAATTATCTAATTATCCAACCTTCCTGTGCCTCTCCTCAATATTCTCTCCTTTGATGGCGGCTTTGATGGTGGCGCTGGTGGGGGTGCCTTGGCTGGCCTTGAAGCCGGTCTAAAAATCAATCAAATCGAAAAATTTGAAGATAATATCTTAAAATAGCTCTAGTTAAGTTATTTTAATGTTTTTAAACTTTATAAAACTTAAAACCGAGTAGAAAATTAGAGAAAGAACCAATTGAGTTCAAAATTTCGGAGACAAGAAAGTATAATTGTTTCAAATTTTAGAAAAACTCTCGGTTTAAAAGATTTTAAATCTGAAATTGAATTGAAAACAGAATGAAAAGAGATTGAAAAATGAAAAGAGAACTCTGTAAAATTCGACTTGTAAAACTTTTTCTTAACTTAAAGTCAAGAGAAAAGTTGTTCAGTTATGATGACAGTGAATTCACAGAACGGGAGCTCGTTCTTGTTTTTTGCCTCGAAATGATCAAAAGACGAAAAGTGACTTTAAGTGCGATGAAAGAGGGAAATAATTGTGAGAACGGGAAAATTTGGGGGGAAATTCGTTGACATTTTGAGGGAATGGATCTAGATTCGAGTCTTCTTCTTTTTCTTCTTCTTCTTCCTTCTCTTCCTTCTCTTCTTCCTTTTCTTCTTCTCTTCTTCCTTTTCTTCTTCTCTTCTTCCTTTTCTTCCTTCTCTTCTTCCTTCTCTTCTTCCTTCTCTTCTTCCTTTCCTTCCTTCTCTTCCTTCTCTTCTTCCTTTTCTTCTTCTTTACTCTCTCCCGAACAAACAATACGATTTGATAGATGAAAAGACAAAAAGTCGGATTTGACAAATAGTTGTGCTTGTCTCAAAATGATCTAGATCAGAGAAAGAGTTTTGGAATTTTTTGAATAAAAGTTAACAACTTCTTGTCGCTCCTATAACTCTTATCTTCAGTAAAAGTGTTGCTTTCAGTTTCAATTCTTTACGATTACAATATACTAAGATAGGAGATTACAGTAAATCGTATGGATAAGTAATCGTTTTAGGCTAGACTCTAGCAAAAACAAGAAGTACTAGGCCAGGTTTAGAAATGTTCTAATAGGGTCCTAGTCAAGGCTTGGCTTTGAACACTTTGAACACAAGGATCAGACATATAAAAGTGACTAAAAGCTTTTGTGGACCAGGATCACAACAAAGTTGGACCAGGCAAAGGCTGACTTGGAAGATTCCTTTTGAAATAACTTTGATCAATGGTATTTGGGCTTACTAGCGTAGATAACCAGTAACAGAACTAGGGCAAGCAGCAGTTCTCCCAAGCAGTTCTCCAAAGCAGTTCTCCAAAGCAGTTCACCAAAACAGTTCGCCAAAGCAGTTCTCTCAAGCAGCTCTCTAAAGCAGTTCTCCCAAGCAGTTCACTAAAGCAGTTCTCTAAAGCAGTTCTCCAAAGCAGCTCTCTAAAGCAGTTCTCCTAGAGCAACAAAGCAGCTTTTGCATTACTCCAAAGCAGAAAAATAATGCAAGAGCAAGTAACAATAGTCTTGGCACTAAAACAGAAATTGCTCAACTAACCATTGTAAAAGTTTGAGCCAATGATACTTTTTATCTCTCAAGCTTAGCCAAAGCTTTCACCATTTCGGATTTGGTTGCTTTTCTTTTCCATTTTCCAATCCATTCACAAGGATTATTGAATTTTTCCCTTTTGAAAAGATTTTGGCACTGAATTGAATGAAATGAAGAAGAGATTATCGAAAGAAAGAATCCTTTCACTTACTATAGGAGATTGGTGAGAATGATCCGCTAACCAGGCAAGGTTGGTTGGCAAGATTGAAATGGGAAATTTCTGATCTCTTTAACAAAATGATACATAGCTAAAAAGGGGTACTGTATTCAGCTATCATATATTTTCTGACCTGGCCTGGCTACCGGATCCAGCATGCCAGCTACTGTATGCTAAGCCAGCTACTGTATGCTCAGTTATCGTATCTCTAGCTATCCTTTTTATTCTAAAGATTATTGAAGTAGACTCAGACTTATCCTCCTTCCATCCTGGCTACTACTAGCTGCCGTTCTTTGCAATCTTTTCTTTGTTTTTTTTGTTTTTTAACCATTTCTTAGTTTCTGCATTAACTTTAGACCTTTTTATTCTAAAGATCTTTTAGTTTAGTCTTAAACTTGATCATTTCATAATATTTTGACAGGGATTAGTTGAGCCAAAGTCAGAACTTTTAAGAAAAAGAAAGAAGGAAATCCGAAAATTACTCTAGTCACAATGAACTTTGATGACGAATCGAAAACCTTGAGAAATATTTGAAAAATCGAGACAATAAAGGAAAGGATAGTTTTTTGAGAAAAACGACAATGAAATCGAGGAGAATGAAGTGGGGATTCTATGGTAAAATTTACTAAGAATATCGTAACATTTGAACTAATTACTATTTGAATTAAAGAACCGGGAATTCGGCTGGAAATCTTGACTAAAAGCCGAGCATTTTAAAGTTCAAAGACCCATTAGTGAGATCGGTATTTCGGGGGTTTTTTCAACCAAATGGATACCACCAATCGATTCTTTGGCCCCGAAAACCCTTGGGTACAAATTTACACTTCTAAATCTCATCTAGAAGTCATTCTCAAAGCAAAAGAAAAATCCTGTATAAAGTGGCTAGCAAGGGATTCTTTGTGCGCTCGCACAATCGCTCACCATCTGGCAAACGGCACGGGGTAGGGTGCTTGCGTTTTGGAATTCGTAAACGAGAAGGAGCTCATTCAAAATGTCCTTTTTTTCCCGAGGTTCATTGGGTTTAGAAATTAGAATTAATGAGAAATTCAAGAAAAGAAAGCTCACCGAATCGTCAATCAAATTGAAGCTTTTTCCTCGTACGAAAGTTGAACATTTGGTTTTTCTTCGTTTTCGTTTATTTGGCTTGACGTCGATGGTTTTGCTTCGATTTGTTGTGTGGCGATTTTATAAGAATCTGTGCGAGCCGCCAGAGCTTCAGACTAAAAAATGGTACTGTCTTGTATCATCTTTTATTCCTATCAGAAAAGATATTCATTTAAACGAAGCACAATTCGAATTTCGATGCTAGAAATAAAAGCCTAAAGCAGTACAGTACAGTACAGTACAGCAGTCCAGTACAGTACAGCAGTCCAGTACAGTACAGCAGTTCAGTACAGTACAGTAATCCAGTACAGTACAGCAGTCCAGTACAGTACAGCAATCCAGTACAGTACAGTACATATCTATAATCTATAAATTTTCTAAATCTTTAATAATTAGATCTCAATTTTATTCATTACTTACATTTTTTGAGCTCAATCGTTGCGGTTTCGCGGGCAACGCTGGCTTTTCACCTCGCGGAGACATTAACATTGGTCTAAAATTATATATTCAAAAGAGATTATTTACTTTTCTATATAGTATACTTATTTATTCGTATTTTACATAGCAAAGGATCCCAAAAAAGTTACCTTGACGAGGATTTAATGAAAAAAAAGTGAATTTACATTGTGAAAGAGCTTACTATGTTTTTAAAACATTCAAATCCATTTTTATATCAAAAATCTTCATATAAATATTTTCTTTTTAAATAAAAGGTTAAGAAAATAAGATGAGAAATATTTTTTCGATAAAACAAGAGACGATTGTCGTAAAAAAAATTTGTTATCTATGAAAAACATGATAAGAAAAAGATATTGAAAGAAAATATTGAAGAAAAACGATATGGAAATACTTTGTACTTTGAAAACACCATCTTTCTGGTGCAATGAAATCTCTATTTTCTTCTGGAGTAAGCCAGAAGACAGTACAGCAGTACAGCACAGTACAACAGTACAATACAGCAGTACAATACAGCAGTACATACAGCAGTACAGTACAGCAGTACAGTACAGCAGTAGAGTACAGTACAGTACAGCAGTAGAGTACAGTACAGTACAGTACAGCAGTACAATACAGCAGTAGAGTACAGTACAGTACAGCAGTAGAGTACAGTACAGTACAGCAGTACGATACAGCAGTAGAGTACAGTACAGTACAGCAGTAGAGTACAGTACAACAATACAGTCCACCATCTTTCTGGTGCCATGAAATCTCGATTTTCTTCTGGAGTAAGCCAGAAATAGTGTGTTTACAAATTTTAAAGCTTAAACTAAACGGTAATTTTTGTGTCAATTGATAAAATACGTAAACTCAAGCTTTCTAGCGCACTGAACTCGTCACTTTTCTTGAAAATGGGAAATAAAGAGCTCTAGATCGAGTGCGTTTCTATTATTGAATACAAAGGACAAGTTCAAGATCAAGTGCACTAGAAATTGTGTGTTTCCAAGCACAAAGGACAGAGATATTTTAAATTTGGAAGCACGAATTTTAACAGAAGTTTTTTGCTTAAATGATTGCCGAAAATCTGAAAAAAGTGGTTTTCTTTTCAAACAAATCAAAAAAAGAATAAAAACTAATCAATTCAAATGGTTTTAAAAAAAGTTATTGAAATTAAGTACACTAGAAAGGATTCGTTTACCCATTGGGAAAGCCACTAATGGGAAATTGACACGGGGAAAGCCTGGTTTTTTGTTTGAAAAATCAGTCAATCGTCAATAATCACCTCTCTCTGACCATTCAAAAAAGATTCTTTGACCCTAAAAGTGACAATTTTTGAGTTAAAAAACGGAGAGTTTCCAGCTATAGCATTAATTGATGTTTTAAGAGTCACGAAAGGGCATCTGGCTTGGTGAAGATCTGGCTTGGTCAAGAACTGGCTTGGTCAGGATCTCGCTTGGTCAGGATCTCGCTTGGTCCTTTTATGCTTCGCGCTGAGAATCCAAAAAAAATCAACCCCGGGGTCCGAACCACCTCTCGCTCACTAGACTAACGCTATACCAATCAACTACAGCGACTCTTATTTCCCTGCCGTCATTATGCAAAGCAATGATTGTAAGCATTGGCAAAAAAAGGTCCCATTGTCTCTAAAAAAAAAAAATGCAAACACGTGAGTTCTTCGTGTAGCTATGAAAAGCAAAGTTTTAGGGGGAAATAATGGCTGAAAGGTGGAAAGACTGGGAGAAGAGGAACCTGTCGGATTACGGTCTTCCCCCCACTGACAAATGCCCGACACAGAAAAAGGACATTTTGAAGGGAAAACAAGGGAAAAAGAACTGTCACCATCCCTCAAGCAGGTAGTGCGGCCATTATTTCTCTGGGAAATAGTTGAAAATGTTTTGATGAGTTTTGCAAGAGAGTTTAGGGTCAATTTGGAGTTGAAGGGTTGTTGTTGTTGTTGTCAAAAAGTAGTTAACCAGCCCAGGCCAAATCATGATCTGGTTGCTTGGCTTGGCTTGGCTTGGCTTGGCTTGGCTTGGCTTGGCTTGGCTTGGCTTAGCTTGGCTTAGGCTTAGGCTTAGCTTGGCTTGGCTTTAGACTAGTCTTGGCCTGAGTCTGACCGGATTCTTACCTAGTTTGGCCTGGTTTTGCCTGGTTTAATGATATTATTATCTAGTTTTAAACAGTTAAACAGCTAGCTAGCAGTAAGCTGTAGTAGTAAGCAGTAAGCGATGTCAAGTTGTTAACTAGGAAACGAATAAGATTGATGTTAACTTGAAGCCTTTAACCTTTAACTACTTTACTAAGGCTACTTTTTAAGAGTTGCTTACAACAGTTTCTTTTTAAGTGAACTGTGGAAAGTAGTGTTTAAATTGAAATTTGAAAAAGGAATTTGAAATCTACAATATTGCAAGACTCTTTGATTACCAAAAATCTCGAAAATCTGAAAATTTCCCTCAACAAAACTACGATAATTGCCTATTTACAACCAAAACTAATCCGAGAGGAGGTTTACAATGTTTTGAAGAATTTAATTGAGTTCAAGTGTATAGTTTCTTAAGAAAAACAATTCCAAAATCAACAAAATCAACTGTTTAAAACGCACTTCTCCGGGTTTTCTTGAGCAACTTTTTGCGCAAATTTCTCAATTGTGCAGGCGACAAGCGGCTGTTGGCGAGTGGTGGCAATGAAAAGACGACTTTTCGAACCGGAAGAACTCGCTGAATTTGTTGAAATTGTATTGAAATTTATATTATTTGTTTATCTAATAGTTTGGGCACCAATAAGCAAAACCAATAAACACCAATAAATAAACAGCTCTCACCTAAAGATTCTTTACTTGTCGCCCTGGAAAGTGACTGAGATTTGCGACGCGTTGAGTGCTCTGAAATTTGTGTGGAAGTTTTGAAGAAGCTGAGTAATCTAAGTTAAATAAAGATGCCCAAGGAGAAGTTATAGAACTGATTAAGCTGTCGTCGATTAAGCTGTCGATATGAGCTCGTGTCCTAGTGAATAAGATGCTTGTATCCAAAGCCAGTGATTCATTTCTGGCTGGGGTTCGACCCCCGCCTATGAAACTTCTGGCTTTTTTTGATTTTAAGGAAACTAATCTAGATAGATTTTGTTTCTTTTCATCTGTTAGGTCTTATCTGAACTAGCCCTGGCTTTCTTTAGTCCTAGAATCCACTTAAAACTGCTTGAAACTGCTTGAAACTTCTTGAACTCACTTGCTTGATAAATCTCGTAGCTACTCAACGCTTTCTTCTTCAACGAGCTCCGCTTCCGCGCAACGCCTACCTTGATCGGATCACTGAAAGAGATAAAGTAATATCGATAAGATTTAGCCTTTAATTTCAATATATTATGATGGCTGAAAGATGGATTCGTTTAAGAGAGACCAATTGGTGAAACTTTCTTCTTTCTTTGCTAAGTGTTCCTAGAGTGAGTTTCTACTATGTGATCGGGTGTAATGTCCGGTGAAAGGCCTTTCGTCTTTTCGTCTTTTCTTCTTTTCATTGCCAAGTGTGACCCCTATTGAACGATTTTGCGGAGAATGAATTGAAATCACCCACAAGATTGGGTGAAAATCGGATTGTAAAGAGAATGATTTTGTAGGAGTTGTCTAAAAGAGTTAAACAAGAGTTAAACAAGAGTTAAACAATTTGTAAGATATAAAATGTTTATCTAGATTTGATAGTAATTCCAGACAAATCTACAATGTCTTTTTTTGACAGTGCTGCGTTAGACTTGTGCGTTCTCTGGGTTCAAAGATTCAAAGGGAAACACATCCTTTCTGGCTCACTCAAGTAGTCCTTGTAGAAGAAAGTAGGAAGATGAAAAGCTAGAAGCTTTAGAAAGCTTGAACAGCACTAAAATTGGCTTTAAAGTGAAGAAATCTTGTCAGATTGCTGTCCTGTCCTTGTCAGATCAACCAGAACATTGTTCTTTTGAAAAGTGAAGAGTTGAAAGCACTAGAAACTGTGTTCACAATATTTTAAGCACATTTATGTACCTTTGGAGATCATTAGACCTCACTAGTCTGATCAATCTGGAGATCTAGAGATCTAGAGTTCTAGAGTTCTAGAGATCTAGAGTTCTAGAGATCTAGAGTTCTAGAGATCTAGAGAATTCATTTCTGTTTCCCTTTCCCCATCTTTAGATCATTTCATCTATGTGAGCCTATTCACCCATGAGTCACACTGACACTAAACTTGCCAGCAAACAGAAGAGTTTTAGTCAATCTTAATGTGTAAACGATTGGATAAAGATGATAAAATATCAAGAAAGAAACATGTAATCGAATAACTATAATAGAATATCAAGAATCGTACAGTACAATACTTTTACAGTTAGAATACCCGTAAAACTTTAGCTAAAGAACTAAATAACTAAAGAAATTGAAAAATGGGGTAATGGAGAATAACGGAAATAAAGATAGAGAAAAAGAAAGCAATTAGAATTCTGGAAAAGATGATTTGAGAGAAATGAGCTATTTATTCAATGAAAATCGTTAACTTTTCAATAATAAATAAGAAGAATGAGAGAATGATTTCAGTCAAAAGAAGATTGAAAAGAGGAAATGAACGGGTAACGCTTTAAATCGATTAAGCTGGCGTCAAAATGAGCTGATGGCCTAAGCCATGGCCTAGCGGATAAGGATGCTTGTATCCAAAGCGAGTGATCTTTTTTTGTTTTAAAGCTTTTAATCCAAATCTCTAATGAATTGAAGGAGAATTTAGTCATAAAAAGGAATCTAAACGTTTGACTAAAGTCTAGTCATTCAAAAAGATTTAAATCCAAAGAAAGACTGGTTATCAAGGGCTTGGTCTGATTTTGGATGTTGATGGGATGATGTTGATGTTGATGGGATGTTAATAGGATGTTATTGATGTTGATGGGATGTTGATTGAACTGATCAAGAGCTAATCGAACTTGTTTGATAAAAAAAGCAACAACCAAAAAGATAGGGTCGAGAATAAGAAAATTGAAGAGTGTACATCTCTTCTTTTCCACACCATTTCCATGGTTTCACCCCTTTTCCTTTACCCGTCAATAAGCCCATCCACCAATAATCCCATCTTTCTCTCTCTCTTTCTCTCTTTCTCTCTCTTTCTCTTTCTCTCTCTTTCTCTCTTCCACCATTTTCCTTTCCTTTCAATGATTACGAGCTTTTCCACTCTTTTCCACTCTTTTCCACTCTTTTCCCCTTTCTCCAGCTGTCAATAATTTGCATATGAAGACTGGAAATTAATTATTGGACAAAGAATCAATACAGAGAAAGTAATGAGAACAAAAGTGTGAATTGATTTATGATTTGAAGAATCTAGAACAATTACCGCATTTTCTCTAATAGTTTACCCTAAGCTTTACCTAAATTCCTTCAAATCTCGAAAACTGCTTATTAAAACCTATTGATATGGAATCGGAAAATGTAGCTGATGATGAGATCTTGCAAAGGATTTGAGTGTTGATTTTCTGTGAAAACTTGAAAACAATAAATTAGTCATCAACTCGGCTGGGCACACTAATAGGGAAAATACGGTAAACATTGCAATTCCACTCACTTTGAAGCGATGATTCGAAATTTGCCGACCCGCTTCTGTGACCGGCTCGATTGCGGGAATGGAGTAGTGCTGATCTCTTCGAATCTAGAATTACAATCACAATGATAACTTCAGCCTTAGATGGTAGACTGAAGATCCCTGGCTCGACAATGTAAACACACCCGCTCTGGCACACTCAATTTGGCCCTTATGCAGAAAAACGTTATCACAGAGAACCCAATTATGCATCTTTGCACGCCAACAGCCTAGAGATGCCATGGCTGACTGGCTAAGAGCCTTGAATCTTACTCGGGAGATCAAGAGCTCAATCCCGCCGCCTTATTGATTCTTTTTCTGAATAGATGTTTTATTTTATATTCAAATTGATCTTCGACTACTTTATCATCAAATTTTAGAATATTTTATCCTAGATTTGAAATTGTTTTGAATAGATTTCAACTAAAATAAATATAAACCAAATAAAGCCATTTATAGTATTTTCCCGGTTTCTTTACCCCAACTAAAGGGGAAGAATTTGCATTTACCGTATTTTCTCTAATATCAGTGCACCGAGCCGAGTTGATGACTATTTTATAATTTCCAATTTTTCCCAGAAGCTCAACACTTTAATCCCCCAAAAGATCTCATCGTCAGCTACATTTTTCGACCCCACATCGATAGGTTCTGATAAGCGGTTCTCGAGATTTCAGGGAATTTAGGCAAGGCTCAGGGTGCACTACTATTAGAGAAAATATCCTGTTTTGTTTGGCGGGCAAAGATGCTAAAGTTTCTTTCAGTGCGCTAGAAAGAATGTGTTTACAATTTTTTTCAGCACAAAGTTAACTGAATTGTTGGTTGAACTCACCTCTTCGCTAAATCCTTGACCCGTAACCGAGGCGGACCATTACCGTCCCCTGGCATTCTGAAAAGAAAATCGGATTTGATTAAGTAAAGTAAAAGTTAAAGAAAACAATCAGTAATCAGATAAACAATTAAACAAGTAATTAAACAAGTAATTAAACAAGTAATTAAACAAGTAATTAAACAAGTAATTAAACAAGTAATTAAACAAGTAATTAAACAAGTAATTAAACAAGTAATTAAACAAGTAATTAAACAAATAACTAAACAACTAATTAAACAAGTAATTAAACAAGTAATTAAACAAGTAATTAAACAAATAATTAAACAAGTAATTAAACAAATAATTAAACAAATAATTAAACAATAATCAAAACAAATACCTAAAAGAATTGATTTTCTAATGTTTGCGGGGATTTTTTTCAGGTCAAATCCGAGAAGAGAAATCAGTGATGACCTTGAAATGGAAAAGATCTTACACAATTTTCATTTAGAATAAGAAAATTTTAAATTCAATCCATAAAAACGGACAAAGATACAAAGATACAACGAAGCTTAAGAACAAAATTTGTATAAAAAAGAAATCCCAAAGATTTTTGTCGAACTTCAGCCATTTTCTCAATGTAGTTAAATTAGTCAAATTGTTCAGGCCATTTTTCGACTTTTGGATTAGCAAAATGGATTGACCTTGCTGAGAAATGTGTTAAGAAAATGGTGATTAATGAATCACCATTTTCTTAACACATTTCTCAGCAAGGTCAATCCATTTTGCTCCCTTCTTGGGGACTAAACGTCAATAATGTCCAATTATTGAGCACTCATTGACCTCTGTTCTCTCTTCGCTCAAGGCTCGAAAATTGGTAACACAAAGAAAAGAAAATATGGGTTTTTGGAAAAAATTTTCATAAGAAAAAGAAAAAGCTAGCTGAAAAAGCTGTTTTCTCCGTTCCCGTTTTCTTAAAAGCATCAATTTTAGAAAGCTATCAAGTTAATTTAGCTAAGTTATCAAACCGCTAGTTTTCATTTGATCAAAACCCAATTTTTGTATCAAGGAATCACAACGCTCAGTCAATCATACCAAAATTCGGCTAATTCTATGTAAAATGGCGGGGTAGGCTACTTTGCGCCATTTTTTTTTGCGCAACTGGGTCATTTGCGCAACTAGGTCTTTTGCGCAACTAGATCTTTTGCGCAGCTCGCCATAACTTTCTTCTAAGTCGGCCAATCTTTATGATTTTGGTTTCATTTTGTTGCACTTATTGAGATCTAAAAAATGAAACCAAAATCATAAAGATTGGTCCACTTAGTAGAAAGTTATAGCTTGCGCAAACGACCCAGTTGCGCAAATAACCCTGTTGCGCAAAAAAAGTTGCGGAAACTAGCCTACCCCAAAATGGTATTTTGATTACGGTAGTTTGTCTAAAATATATTTTAGAAAAAAAACAAAGCATTTGTTAGAAGAGAAAAGCAAGATTTAATGAAACTCAAACTTTCCTTTTACAAAAATTTCTCATTTTTGCTTTAGCAATTTGAGCAATACTTTTTCATAAGGATTTATTAAATAATTGTCTTTAAAAGGAATGATATTTGATTTAAAAGAGTTAGCTCTATTTAGCTGAAAGAATTCAACGAATTACTCATGTTAGCCGGGTTTTTTTTTATTGAAAAACCTTTCCCCAATTAGTGATCAAACCAAAGCGTTGAAGCTTTAGAGACACAGCGAAAAAAAACTCGAATCGAAAACGAAAAAGTGATTCACACTTTGAGAAACAATAGTGATTTAGATGATCTAGATGATTTAGATCATTTAGAACATTTAGAACATTTAGATCATTTTACGTAGAGAAATAGATGATTTTACGAAGCATTGAGTAAACCGAAACAAATTCCTTCGGGAATTCTGTTTAGCAATAGTTTAGCAATAGCTTTAGCTTAGCAATAGTTTAGCAATAGTTTAGCAATAGCTTTAGCTTAGCAATAGTTTAGCCATTAAAATCTATCAATTTCTAATTTAGCAACTCAAACTTTGTAAGGAAATTTCAAAAAAGCTCTGAGCCTTTGGCTATACAATTATAATTTATAATTTATAAGCTAATAAATAATTTAATATAATTTAGACCGTAGAAACCGAAAAACATGGTTTGAAGACGATTTGAGCACGAAAAACGCGTTTGGAAAAGCCAGAAATTTACACCTTTCCTTGCGTGCCGTGGAATTGCTCAAAAATTAAAGTAAATGAAAAAAACAAATATGCCATCTTAAAGAGCACATTTCAAGCTTTCAGAATCACTATAACACTAATAGGCGACAGTGGATAATTCTCAAGTTAAGGCGCTTCAAAGTTGAGGTAAAATTCGAGAGGTGACACTCTTTTGTCCAGTACTGTACTTTGTACTTAAAAACAGATAAACTCAAGCTTTCTAGTGCACTTGGTTTGTCATTTTCGTTGCAGTAACGACTAGAATGATAAATGCCGGTTTGATTTGCAGAAAAATGAGAAATTCAGTGCGCTAGAAAGGATACGTTTACAGTTCAAAGTAGTTATAAGAAAAAATTGGTTTGATAAAGGCTTAGAAATCTGGAATAAATAAATTGTTTAATTCAATTGTTTAATTCAATTGTTCAATTCAATTGGTTTTTAAAATCACAAAACTAACAATTTATAAGTTCTAACTATAATTCTACGATATTCATTAGGTCAAAAAATAAATTCAAGTCCAAGTTCAGAACAAAAAAAAAGCTCTTTGTAGCTTTCTTTGTCAACTGCATCACTAGCAAACCATTTTTCCATGTTCTTCGATTGTGACAAAGCGTGACAAGATAATCTTCATCGACAATGCACACCTTTCAACATAACAATGGGAAAAGAGTGCACAAAAGAAGAGAAAAGCACAGGAAACCCCATCCATTCCCACGCAACACATTCCATTCACCTTTCCAATCAACGAGTAAGGAGAAGGTGGTAAAAAGCTTTTTTTAAGTGGTAAAACTGTAAACTATAATCTGTAGAAAACTCCAAATATTCTATATGTTCCTAGTTTAAGCAACTTTCAATAAGGTCCTGCAAAATGTGAACTTTTCTGCTCTTTCTTACATCTCTCAATCGATTTTAGGAAGCAAGAAGTTCTTGTAGCAAGGAATTCTTTGCTATTCTCTGCTATAGTCAACTATTGAAATGATGCTTATAGTTTGGAGTGATTGTTGATAATCAATTATTCAATTGTTTTATGTTTTAATGAAATCTAGGATGGGATTGAGATTGAGGTAGATTGAGATTCTTGGAATCTTCGATAAAGGGCATGCAAAAGCCCCTTTGAGAAGAAAAGGCGCTGAAAAGCTGTCTAGCCAATCTGTTTACATGGCTGAGTGTCAGAGCGTTCGTCTCTAGCTCGCACGGTGGGGGTTCGACTCCCGTCTGGGCCTGCATTTTGCCTAAGCCGTGAAAAGAAAGAGAAAACTTGTTGCTTGAGATCAAAAGATGGAAGAGAACAAGGAAAGACGAACGAGTGGAGGAAGATGGAGCGGAAGAGATGAGGAAAACACAGCGTCTTTTGACTCAATTTTGGATCCTCATCAATTTCCGATATCAATTGCAAGTTTTGCGAAAGAATTCAACAAAAAACATAGCAAAACCAACAAAGATTACTCAGTATAGAACAGACAAAGACTACCCTAGTTTACACCAGACAGACAAAGACAAAGCTTACTGTAGCCAAAGATAGAGAAAAGTTAGACAAAAGACAAAAGACAAAGATTACTGTAGAAAGAGAAAGAGATCTCCTCAAGTCGATCATTCAATTGATTTCATACCGACCGAGTTTAGGGTCACTTAGCACAATAGACGAATTTCTCTTCTTTTTCCCATCGATCTCTTTTCTTTCAATCTATTGTGTACACCACTTCATGACTCGGAAATGCATGCGTGAATGAAAAGAGAAATGAAAAGTGAAGACAAGACTTTAAGAGAGTTTATCATTGAAAGAAGGATTTTGTTTGAACTATTGCTTGACCAAAGTTGGGTTGAGCGTTTTTTCTTTTTGTTCCGTTGAATAAATACTAAATACTGTGGTAAGGTTAAGGGTGAATTTCACTTCAGAAAAAAGCATTTTCACTTGAGTCATTTAAGCTTTTGGACAATTTGGACAATTAGATTACTATTAGGAAAAAACAATTCTACTTTTTGGAACAATTAAAGCTAAAAAGCCAAGAAAGTTTATAGAGTCAAGTTTTAATTAAAAAATTGAAAAATTCGACGATTTCCAAATGAACCACTGTCATTTTCACTAAAAAATGGGAAATTTCAAACGCGACGATCAGCTCTTTTTCTTCTTTTCTTTTCTCCACATTTGTATGCAAATTTTGTTGGAGAAATGGGGAGAAAACAAGGCCGAAAAGCCACCCGATTGCCCTAAATCGACTAGATCGGTGTTTGGTTGACGAAAAAAAAAAACTTGTTACATCCAAGTTTTTGTTCTATTTAAACAGCTTTTGATGTGTACTTTGGCTTGAAAATGTAAACGAACCCTTTCTGGTGCATTGGATTCTTTGGTTTTCATCAGAAAATGATTTGGTACTGCAAAAAAAATGGGAATTTTAGCTGATTAACTGGTTAACTGATTTTTGGGAACGTCAAAGGAGAAATTACTTGACAAATTGTTGAAGGTGAAGAATTGACATTGACAAAAAAACAATGACAGAAGAATTGAGTTCTTGACCAATCCAAATCTGATATCAAGTCTTGCTAAGCAATTTCCTGATTTGGTCAAGTGTTGTGAAGAGATTAAACGGGATTGATCTCATTGCGAGAACGATTCTGACTATGAGGACTATTTGGATGTGAAAGAAAAGTCAAAAACGAATCGCGCACTCAATCGAAACCAATTGAGAGAAGAAATTCGGGGATTTCGATTGAAGGAGATGAAGGAATTGAAGGAATTGAAGGAATTGAAGGAATTGAAGGAAATTAAAGAAAATTAAAGAAAATTAAAGAAAATTAAAGAAAATTAAAGAAAATTAAAGAAAATGATAGAAAATAAGAAGTTATACTTGAAAATTTGACTTAAAAACATAATCCTAATCACCTAATCATGTTAAAAACATAATCCAATCAGTTCATTCAGTCAAAAAGTATCAAGCCGAGCTATTTTTTCTTACCAAAATACTTTTTCTAGAAAATTACAAGATCGACAACAATTTTAAAAGTAGTAAAAAGTAAAATAAGCAAACAGTAAAGCTTTTTTAAAACTTTTTCAATTCAAAAACGTGAAAAAATGGAACACGTAGAGTTCAAGCAAGAATGAAACGACGTACGTCACGATTGAATCCGCAAAATGCCCCCCAAATCATCCGAAATTCAAATATTATCAATTGAATGGTGCACGGATGATCAGAATGAAGAAGAGAATCCTCCGTGAACTGAAAACCGGAAGTCGACAAAGAGAGAAATGGGAAAGGGACGAGATGGATTAAGCGCGCTGATTGAGCTCATTGAGAAGGGGAAAAGGAACCATTGGACCTGCATCTGGACCTGGTATCGATAAAAGTTTAATGCAAAATGGAAAATGGTTAAAATTGTCAAGTTTCTGGGAATCCAAGCCACGTAAAAGCTAGACAAATCGCTTTATCCGAAAAGTTTAACCAAGGCTTTTTTAGGTTTTTGAAGGAAAAGGTTTAAGGTTGGATTGTTGATAATGAATATTCAACAACAATTGTACTATTTGTATGTACTAATGAAAGCTAGGCTAGGTCTATTCTTGAGTTATAGCTTAGCCTCCTAGATAAAGAACCCAGTAGCCTCTTTGAGAAGAGAGGCGCTGAAAAGCTGTCCACATGGCTGAGTGTCCAACCAATCTGTTCACATAGCTCAGTGTCAGAGCGTTCGTCTCTCGTTCGACGGACGCGAGTTCGATCCCGTCTGCCGCCGATGCAAATGGTCAAAGGGCCAAAGAAGACAAGAGAGGGGAGGGAAGAGAGGAAGAGGATGAAAGGAAAATGTTATCTACCTATCTTTGACTGCTGTAATGGTATAGGATTACTATTTCAAATAAGACTATTAGAAATTTATCTACCGAAATACCTGTATTAGTAGCGCCCCCGTACAGTCGCGTAGTCTGACTTCTTTTTATAAAATCATTTTTTTCTCAGCTCCTAGATTTTTCCCAACTACACTTTTAATACCAAAAATACTAGATTTCAAGGGCTATCATTTGACACTCAAGCGCACACTGTAGCATAAAGCAGTGCGGAGAACGGAGTGTGCAAAGCTAGACTACGCGGCAATACCATGTCATTATGGAGGGGGGCGGGTGCTACTATTAGAGGTATTACAGTAACAAAATAGAAATCAAGATCACAACAGACAGAACAACAGAAAGAACATTAGAAACAATTGGAAATGAGCAACAATGATCCGGACGACTACGCGTCGCTTCAGTTGACGCGTACAAAAGACGAAACGAGAGTTAGTGCAAAACAGAAAACACTTTGTGATGATCTCTTGCCAACAGAAGAAAAAAAAGCAAGAATTTTTCAAGAATAAAACAAAATCTTGCCCAAATTCTCCCACTTGCATATATACGTTCACTTTTTTCTTTTACGCAAAAATCTTCCCCTGAGAGACGAAAATGCGTATTTGTGTAGAGCGAAAAAAGCTTTTTATGTGCATGTGAAATGTTTCCAATGGATGAAAAGCCACCAGAAAACATTCAATCTTTTTGAAGATCAAAGGGGAAATTATGGGGGAAAACATAGGAGTTTTAAAAAAAAAAAATTGTTTTTAGTAGTATTTTTCAATCAAAAATCAATACAAAATCCCTTCCTTTTTCCGTAAAAACGGTGCCAATTTTTGACTGGTGAATTTCTTTCCGTTTCATTTCATTTTTGAGATGCAATTTGAATGGAGTTGAATTTGCAATAAATTTGCAATAAATTTGCATATAAACAGAAGTAATTGTACAAAAATGATTAAAAATTATGTTTTAGATGGTGTTGCAAAGCGATTTGAAGGGATTACTTAAAAAAAATTGCACAATGAGTTATTCTTGTTGAGAGAATTTTGCTATTTTAGCTATTTTAGCTATTTTTGGCTATTTTTGTCTATTACATAGATTATGAATATATTTTAATACTAGAAAATACAAAAATATAGTGACAGCTCCCAAGAGCTGTGTCACTTCGATCTTTCCCATTGAGAGATTCAAGTGACAGGGGACAATTTCAACTTCAACTACTGAGATAATAGAGTTCGCTTAAAATCTATTTGTTATTAGTTTGGACAAGTTTCAGGTTTACTTTCAAAGTATAGACACAATGCTAAACCAGACCTAAATTTCCCACCAATTAGTACAATGGTCAAGTGGACAGCGAAGTTGTATAGGTGTGTGGGAATGGACAACGGCTGGAGAGAGACACAAATTTGGGGACTTCAATGGAAAAGACAGGGGAATAGATACGAATGGAGAAGAGTCTTTGACTTTTCTTTGAAGAACAGAGTAAAAGGAGAGGCCATTTCTACGATGACCATAGATGAAAGGAATGGCTTTTTAGGAGAAAGGAGATTCGAGATTTAGGTGAATTGAGGATACATGCTGGATACGTTCACTTACCGTAAATACTGTAATAGTACCTCACCCCCCTCGTACAGTCGCGTAGTCGCAAAAGTTTTTTAGTATTTCATTTTTTTCAAAGCACCCGTACTTTCAAAAAATGCGTCTTTAGTATGAAAAAATAGCCCTGAATTTCAGCTATTTTTGATAACTAAGCGCGCATTGTAGCATAAACCAGTGTCGAGAAAAACGCGTTCAAAGCTAGACTACGCAACATTCCGCACCATCATTATGGGGGTGAGGTACTATTACAGTATTTACGGTAGGTATTAGAGCTTGTTAAAAGTGAGACTGGAGCTCTCATAATCAGCTTGAAAGGAACGGCTTTTTAGAAGAAAAGGAATTCGAAAAGGAAATTTAGGTTCTCAACGTTCAATGGCGTATTATGGCGTGTTCAATGGCGTATTATGGCTTTGGATTTAGAAGTTACTGACTCTAGTGTTCCAAAGTTTACAGAAATACTGGCTTTTACTTTGAAGTAGCATTGATCTCTTCTTTAGTGAAATCAAGGCTACAACAATTGCATTTACTTTTACATAACTTGACCAGAATTAGAAAATGACTAGTTCTAGCGATAAATCTTTTTCTCATCACCAGATTGAATCGTATAGTTGACTGAAATTGGCCTGGGATTTGGGTGAAAGAAGAAAAAAAACGAATGACACAGAAAAAAAGAGATAAGTTTACATGAAAATCAAAAAGTAATTGCCTTTGATACAATTTTGAAAACAAAAAGACAGTGTGCCAGAAAGTAGACATTTGCAAGAGCACAAAGTAATCGCATAAGAATCGGGTTTGTTGTTACTGTGATAAGTAAAAGATTATTAGATAAGTAAAAGTAGAAGTAAAACCAAAAGTAATAAATAAAGATTTGTATAAAAGATCATAAAAACCAAAATTTCAAGCATGAGCATAAAGATGTCTATGAGTCATGAGAAATGTAGCTGGTGTTCTCATTTCCTTTCTCTGCTGGTCTCTGTTCTCGTCTATTGGAAAGAGTAGCCTCATTTGGCCTTTCCCCCTTTTTGGCTCTTGGTGCCAATCCTTGGGGTTACCCTAGGGGAATCGATAGGCCCTAGTGTGGTCTTAGCCCCTTTTCCCCAGCCGGGAACACTCCATAAATGGATATTGAAGGGAACAAGGGGCCTAGTAACACCCTTCCGCTGGAGAGACATAATAAGAGGCTTCTCCCTTCTAAACCTCTAAATCCTATATCGAATCTCTCCTCAAGTTGAACACTCCTTTCGTCGAGTCTTTGGAGAAAAGCACTTTAAATAAATGAAGAATGGAGAAAGCTTGAGTGATTGAAATAATAAAATAGAAAATAGAAAACGCAAAATAGAAAATGGTTACGGTTCAAGATGTTTTCTATTTTCCACCATTTTCAAAAAGACTACTATAGGCCAAAAACCCAAAAACCCAAAAACCCAAAAAAACCGTCTGCTCACATGCTCACTCGTTTTACTAAAACGTTCGCTGTCAACTCCCAGAAAGTTTCTAACTGTAGAAAAACTTGCAAACTTCAAGTAGCGCTCATAAAATCGTTTCATACGATCAATTTTAATACAGAAAGGGCAGGATTAAACCCCTACTTGTTTTGTTTTTCTTCTATCTATAAAATTTTTGTGAATTCTTGCCTAAAACTTTGCACAATTGACCCAGAGGGCTCAGTGATGCCATTGAACTTTTATTAGGCTGTTCAAAAAGTCTTTTCGCTTCATCCAACTTTTTCAACCTATTTTTTTATGGAAAACATTAGCAATATTTTAAAATCAACAAATTTAGGTCGAAACTTGCACGGGCCTCCAGGATCGTCGGGATTTATGGTGGTGGGGACGGGCCGGACCTAGCTGACGATAATGGAGCCGAAGTGGTGGAAAGGCTTGTTGAGCGGGTTAGTTCTTGGTTTTAATTTGCGGATTGTAGAGGAGAGCAGTTTGAAAAATGAAATTGTTTTATGGAAAACATTAGCAACATTTTAAAATCAACAAATTTAGGTCGAAACTTGCACGGGCATCTAGGATCGTCGGGATGCACTCCGTGGTTTACAAAATTTGGCCAAAGTATTTTTGCAGTTACTATTTAAAACAAATCTTTACTTTAGAAACATCGTCTTGCAGTTGGTACATTGGGACTCAACGCTTTGATGGACATACTAACCAACGAGAGAAATGCGATCGATCTTTTATCGCTTACATTTGAGGTTTTTTTGAACAGACTCTATCTCAACTTATTGTTTAGATTTTTTATTTGTTCTGAACGGTGATGATGATGTTCCCGAAGAAAGCGAACTGGGAGAAAGACTTGCTGAGGTAGTTATATCTGTGTTTTTTTCGATATTTTTATGTTTAGGTAATGCTCAAGCGACCTCAATTTATTGCACCGGTTCTTGCCGTTTTGGAGCAATATGAGTTCGCTGTGAGACGGTTGGTTAATAATTGTGTACTAGGGAAATTATAAGCATACTTATAATGATTCCTCTACTAAATTATTTACAATTCTGTTTTTAGTATTTCGGTTCAATTGCTCAGGTCTTTGTTGCGTCATCGAGGAACTGAGCGCAAAATGCGGTTATTCAACAGCCGATGGGAGCTACGCGTCTTGTGGATCTTGTTCACGATAGTGTTCACATGTTCACGATTCTTGTTCCGAATCGAGAGGTCCATTCTATAAAGCAACTCAATTCAACTTCGGCTTTAGGTTGTAACAACTACTTTGCGAGCTTTCACGAGCACATTCCCAATTGCAACAAATGCCTATGACAACGCTTTCTCCATACACATTGACATTGTTGGCTCTGAGTCAATTGACAGTACGTAGTTTTTAATTTGGGAAACACTTTGTTCTTTTTTGTTCTTTTAATTATCGTCATTGAAGATTGTCTTTTTGTGATTCTGAACTTGCTTTGCAAAAATGCAAACAATCAGCAGCTCTTTTGGGAAAATCAGTAAACCTTTTTTACAAAGTTTCAATGTCAGGTTAATCATGCGACTCCGTGGACTTCTCGGATCTTTGGCTTTTCCAGAAGACGTCGATGAAAGCGCCGAGGGGGCTAAACAGCGAACCGCAAATTGATTTGCCTTTTGCAGGTTTGACATTATTTCAACAGTTCTATTCCTACTTTTTAGGTCATCAATTATCATTTGTCATGCCCTTGGCATAGTAATTTATCGAGTAATTGTCAAGGCAGTCTGTATTTATTTGTGCACCTAGGTTGCCTACCCGAGATTGGCAAATATCACTTACTCTTCATTTCCACTTTCCTGGAATTGTAGCTCTTTCTTTTAAAAAAAATTGCGTTCTTGAGATTTTTTTAGAATAAATTTTTTCTAGACTATACTAGAAGTGCAAGTGCAGAACCAGAAAAAAATCTGCATTCCAGATCATAAAATCCGAGACAACTAATAAAAAGTCTTTTGGGAAATTCTTGTTTTATTTTGGATGATTTTGGATGATAGTTTTTGGATTATTTTATTTTTTCCGTTCATTTCTGGGCCTAACTTAAAATTTTTAGTGTTCGAATTTTTGATTTAAAGAAAAAAATTACATTAGGGTGTAATCGATGTGCGTCTTACTATAATTGGTTTTAAAGGTTGTAGTTAGTGATTGCTTTCAAGTGGATGTTTCGTACAATTTTGATTTTAGCACATGCCAACCTCTTCTATCAACTTCCTTGAAGGACTTCCCGATGTCGTATTCTATGCGGTGATGGAGAGACTTCCTGCACGGGTCATCGAAAAGTTAGCAGCCTTCATCTTCTAGCATTAATCTTTGCTTTAGCACTGTTCGACAACTGTCCAAGAATTGCTATAGAAGGGTCGAGCTGCGCAGAGAAAGACTTCCTCGTGTTTATATCGATGAGCTTTGTGTTCAGGAGAACATGGTAAAATATTGTTGTGTTAGTTACAAAAACAGGTTTCAGCTTCGATTTATACATGGAGGAAGGAACGAATATTCGGAAAAGATAGATCCAGCTAAATTAATTCAACATTTGGCGTATTTGAATGAGCGTGTCACCTTCAACACCCTCCGTTTGGTTAGCTTTTAATATTAAATGGTATACTTAAAATCTGTCTTTTAGCAGGATGTCAATTGGGACATGTTTGCAAATTGCAAGTTCGAATGCGAAGAATTGACTTGTTTTGTCATTGGGACGACTCTTTCACCAGAAAGATTCCAGGATATTTTTCGCAGTATAAGGCCAACACGCAACCTATATGTTTCGGTAATTTTGTATTGAAGAACTCAAAATTAGGCTGATTAAGGCGCATGGGGACAACAAAGTTTTTCCTGTTACAAGGGACTTTTTCACCAATAACTATGCAATTGAGTTGCAACTTGTTCGGTTGTGGGGTTACGGGAATGCCATGGTGGATCCATTAAATGACACAGTTTGTTTTGATTTAACTTCAATGAACAATTTTTTGTTACGACGCTTACTCCGGATAATGTTTATTGTTTAGATCCTGTTAGATTCAACTGCTCTGGTTTTATCCGGTCATTTTCGAACAAGTTCCGGCTGTACTCTTAATGGGATTCTAACGATGATCCAAGACTGGTACACTTCAGAGCGTCAAATTGATGCAATTCATCTTCGAGCAGTTTGCGGGGAAGCAGAACGTCAAAATGTGAGCTCTTTTAACTTTCTTATTTTGCTGGAATAATTTGGATGAAGTTTTTAAAACATCCGGAAAATCGACTTAACTATTCTAGTCTAGATAGCCCAGATAATCATTGAAAAGCAATTCAAAGCAATTGGTATTTTTCCCCATAAAATTATTCAATTTTTAGTTCTTGTACAACTTACCTGGATTGCAATCTGTTAAACGGCTCCTCTTCAAAGGTTCCATCTATTCTATCCCCGCTTTGGAAAGAGCAAATGGAAACATCATTGGGTTTCCTATTCGCAGTGATGGAAAAGGTCATATTGAGTATGTTTTAGCACGATTTTTTCGACGTATGAAAGGCATTCAATGAAACTATCTATTACCAAATTGTTTTAGTATCTCCATGCTTCGACTAGTGCCGGGTCCGGAAGCTGACTTATATGGGATGTATAATGACGTATTTTGAATTAAAATTCTGTTTTGTTAAAGCTTAAATTTTGTCCATTGTGGTTGCTATTTCTTGGAAAGTACATAATACTAATGTCACAATTTGAAATTCTTCTCACTGAATAAATCCTTCAAGATTTTGTTGTTCTTGAAAATGTCACTGTTTCAAATTACAATATCCTTGTTCGATCAATCACATCACCACAACTGTTTGGAGACGAACGGGACAATAATAAATATTGTGCATTAGGATACGTCATTATACAGCCTATATAAGTCAGCTTCCGGGCCGGGCACTAGTCGAAACATGAAGATACTAAAACAATTTGGTAATAGATAGTTCAATCTCTTGTGTCAAACGAATCTCTTGTGCATTTTTTTCCTCGTTCTCTCTGCATCAGCCAGTGTTTTATAATCATATTTGTTTACACGAAATACAACATCATCATCATGTTGGACCCCCGGCTTATTTTTTAAATTTTGATTTATTTATTCCTCCACCACCTTTTAAATTTTACAAAAAAAGCGATTTTTAGACGGGCACAGAGTTGAGTAGTTTGGGTCTTTATTGTTCCTTGGACTTCTTGGGCTTGGGCTTGGGCTCGCCCTCGTCGATCAGCAGATCTGAAAAGCAAGAGTTCTATGAATCGAAGAGGACCACTTTTAGATTGAAGAGAGAAAAAGAATTGAATTAGGGAGTAGATAACTCATGGCAGTCAAAGAAAGGAGCAAGGTAATTTTTAGCTTGCACTTGATTTTTGTCAACTCATAGATTTCATTTTTATATTTCCGATTTGGATCCCGACTCGAGCTTGCCACCAATAACTAAATTGTCCAATGATGTTTTTACCTACGATAATGCGATGCATAGTGAGTTCAAATTTGCCAACCAATTTAAATACTCTTTGGAAGGACTGGTCTTTCACAAAGAGAAGTGAGCCCAAGAAGAGAAGAAAGCGACAGGTCTCGAAGATCTCGAATGATCAAGGTAAACTTTTAACAAAATACATAGACAAGCGGTCAGCAGAAACAATTATAAAGTTTGGTAGATTTTAGATGACGATTGGTCTACGCGGACGATGAGTATATGTAATTTAGCATATTTTTTTGTGTAATTTATGTTTGGGCTTGTTGGTTTTTAGGAACAAACGTTGTCACTGCTCTCAAGTAGAAATCACAATAAAATTCTGATATTGATCCATGATAGTCAACTAGTGGCAAACAAATCTCTTGTGCATTTTTTTCCTCGTTCTCTCTGCATCAGCCAGTGTTTTATAATCATATTTGTTTACACGAAATACAACATCATCATCATGTTGGATCCCCGGCTTATTTTTTTATTTTGATTCATTTATTCCTCCACCACCTTTTAAATTTTACAAAAAAAGCGATTTTTAGACGGGCACAGAGTTGAGTAGATTAGTTCTTTATTGCTCCTTGGACTTCTTGGGCTTGGGCTCGCCCTTGTCGGTCAGCGGATCTGAAAAGCAAGATGTTCCATGAATCGAAGAGGTCCACTTTTAGATTGAAGACTATTAAAAAGAATTGAATTAGGGGGTAGAATAAAATCCCACCAAGCTCCAAATTCTTTCCGAGTTCCGGGAGGGGCTGAGTGAGGTCCGTGAGCAAGAACTGCTGGAAAGCTGAAAAAAAAGATCTACTAGGAAGTAGGTTGAACATAATAGCAAAAAATCATCTTTAATTTGTATACTATTGAAAAATTGATTAAATTAGTTAGCAGAATAAAAGTTTATCCTCAATAGAGTCGTCGTCGTTGTCAACGGTGGGGTTAATGAATTCGCGAGCAAAAATAAAAGCCTACGATTCTGGCCGCTGGTGCTGGCTGGTGCTGGTGCGAATGTATTGAGCTCTCCGACCAAATCTGGAAAGAAACAAGTTAGGTTTAACATAAAACCAGATCCTCTTTTAAATCGAATCCTATTGAAAAGGTTATTGAATTAGAGAGCACAATATCTCACCCAAGCCATCGGTGGAGAGCACGGGACTGGGGACTGGGAAACTGGATGAGCCGTCAAGGAAGTACTCGCTGGAGGTGGTGTTGGCAGCGGCTGGAGCTGGAAAGAAGCATGTTCTTAGCTAAGACCAATGAATAGAAGAGGTTCACCCTTAGATTGAAGACTATTAAAAAGAATAGGGGTTAGAATAAAATCCCACCAAGCCCAAAAAAAAAAAAAACGGGGGGGGGAGGAGAGGGGGGACCAAAAAAAAAGGAGGGGGGGGGGGGGGGGGGGGGGGGGGGCCCCAAAAAAAAGAGGGGGGGGGGGGGGGGGGGGGGGGGGGGTTTGTTGGGGGGGGGGGGGGGGGGGGGGCGTTGAGAAAAGTGACTGGCTAGTCTTCATTGACGACTCTGAAAACAAACATGTTCTACTAATTCACATAAGTAAGAAAAATAAAATCGTACCAGGTAGTTGATAGCTAAGTTCCTGCACAAGACGAGAAGCGTTCGAAGGACCAGGAGGAGCTAAAAAAACCAGAGAATAGGAATTAGGTTTAGCACGAAATAAGGAGTTACTTTCAAAACTGGAATCTATTAAAAATTGTTTAAATCAATGAACAGAATAAAAGCATACCTGCATGAGACGTGCTCTGCTTGCGCTTGCGCTCGAGTGGTCGGTCTGCGTTATTAACGATGAGGGTTAGCATGTGAGGTTCCTGAGAGAAAAATACTTTTTGATTTAGAAGATAAAGTTTTTGATGACCTAACAATCTAAGCAAACGCATTTGATGGATTAATTGAAGAAAAATACTATATTCATAGAAACCCAAACCTACCGAAACAATTGATGAGGAAACATCTTGAGCTGTCATTTTAAACGTGGCTTTTTGCCGTCCTTTCTCCCTGTTCACTAAAGAATCGATTTTTAGTATCATTCTTTTTAAATAAAAGGTAATAATAAGAATAAGATTTAAATAAAAAAGATTTAACTAAAAGCCAATTCAAAATCTTACAATTCGAACACTCCACGCTGATTTGCCTCTCCTCTTTGGGCTTGATTGGCTCTGAGCTCGTGTGTACGATCCAACCACTCTCTGTTTGTGTTGCATCCAGATCAATCTTAAAGAGAAAATTAAAAAGTTATTTCGAAGCCTCATAATGTTTAAATGCTATGCTTCTGGCTTAATTTGTTAATTACTCTTTACAAGATATTAAAGAAAACCTTGACGACAATATTCTTTCCTCCGTCATTTCTCATCGTGATATCCTTTTTTCCATTTCCATCTTTATCCGGCCTTATTGGGTACGTCTAAATTTTCATGGTTAAAGTATGCAAGTAAAAGACGGACCGGATCAATCGAGTGGTAAACACCATCCGCGAGTGAAATTTGGACCACAAGTTGGTTATTTCCCGAGCGGAAATTGTATGCCTTCCATTCCCTCTAAAAAAGTAAAATGTTTATACTCCAAATTGCAAGAACCTTCCATCATAATAAATATCACCAGCTGCGCCGGGAGTCCGCTACGCGGCCGCCTTGGGGCAGTCGTTTCGTAGATGGGGCGTTAACCACCTCCACCTGCACCTCGACCACGCCCTCCCCCCCCCCTCGTCTCCCAAGGGCCGCCGACGGCAAAAAGGGGCGTGGCTAAGTGGTTTTTCTGATTTTTTTTACAGGTTTTTGATGAAAATCTTGTTTTGACCAAAAAGTATGTACCTATTCATTTTTAATTAACTATCGATCAAAAAAGTTTGTCGAAATCGGTTCACGGGGAGCCGAGATTCATAGTGTGACGGACAGACAGACCTCAATTATATAATAGTTATGAAAACAAAGACTTTTATAAAGTAACAAAAGTCATTTAAATTGATTTTTGACCTTAGCAACAGAGAAAAATTAAAGATCACGAAATTTTAACTTTAGCAACAAAAACTTTAGCAACAAAAAAACCTATAACAAAAATCACTTACACTATCGGGAGGTGGCGGGTCGGAAGTTGAATTGTGAGGTGGAGCACGATCCATGACTGGCGGAATGGAAGTCGAGAATGTGTATGATAAATCTATCCATGCTCGTTTCTATTTATATGAGGTTTAAATGCAAATTTGAATTTTTATAAGTAAATATTTTATAAATGCAAATGTTTGTAAGCAAATTTTTGAATGTTCTAAGATTTTTTATTTTTATTTTAAGATTTAATATTTTTCACTTAAAATGCAAATGTTTCTTGGGGTAAATTAACATGAAATCAAAAGTGATTTTTCAACTAGTTGTCGGTGGCTTGAAGTTTCAATTTTGTGCTCGATAGTTGCTATCTCTGGCACCCATTCTGAGACAACCGTCTCTTCTCAAAACATTGAGGCTCCAGAAATTGGAGATGGACAAGAGTTTTCAATTAATAAAAGTGAATCACGATCTACGCTTATTCGTACTATTCTTCGGTTCTTCGTACTAAACTAGACAAAATTTGCTTTCTAAATCCCTTAACCGTTAGAAAATTTGAACATGTTGCGAGAAAAATTGCAGCCGAAACTTTTGCAAACTCGATGTTAAAAGACTTTTGCGCATGACTGTAGTACTAACCAGCATGCGAACAATGTGGAAGAGCAGTGGCTGTGCGGCCTCATCAACCGGCAATGAAAGTTGAACTCGCAACAATTGTTCCCCAAGGTGTTCTACCTTAAACAAATATTGGCCAGTTATAATTATAAGTGAACTTACATCAAGAAGGCAATGCAAAAGTCACACGGCTCCAAACCAAGATTGAACAGACTCCGAAGAGGTCAGCGCCTAAATTTGCGTCTTACCAGATAGTTGGGCGCAAATACCTGAATAACTAGACTGCCAGTTGAAAGTGAGTGCATGAGCTGCCGGAAGAAGAGTCTCTACAAACTGAAAACGTTTTTTAAAGCAATAAAAGGATGAGGTAGTACTTTTGTTTTTCCGAATTCGTTATCATGTAGGTAAGAAAGGAAAGCGTAGAAGACGGAGTAACGCAGCTTGAATGGTTGACGCTCGGCAGTCAAAGAAAGGAGCAAAACAAGGAGCGCTGGTCTAAACACGCCTGGAGTTTTTGAAAAATAGAGTTTCAAACCGTTGACTTCCTTCCGCTGTAAGCAAAGTGTTGCTTGCAAAATACTCTTGATTGGTATAATTTCCTCAAATCACTTTTGCCACTGCGATCACCGTTTCAGTTAAAACCTAAAATATCTTGTAAAACATTCACAACCATTTTTCACCTCCACTAATACTCCAATTTCTGACAACTATACTCGACAAAGTTCGCTCAAAATTTCTAAACGTATTTTTTGATTAATTTTATCAAAGTCAATTACGAGTTTGATGAATGATCATTTGAAAAGCATGTGTATTTGCTGAAACGTTATCTGGTGAAACAAGAGCTCGGATGGCCTGAAAAGTAGGGATAGAAATCTTGAAATAATGTCAAACCTGCAAAAGGCAAATCAATTTGCGGTTCGCTGTTTAGTCCCCTCGGCGCTTTCATCGACGTCTTCTGAAAAAGCCAAAGATCCGAGAAGTCCATGATTAGCCTAACAGCGACATTGAAGCTTTGTAAAAAAGGTTTACTGATTTTCCCAAAAGAGCTGCTGATTGTTTGCATTTTTGCAAAGCAAGTTCAGAATCATAAAAAGACAATCTTCAACGATGATAATTAAAAGAACAAAAAAAAAAAGTGTTTCCCAAATTAAAAACTACGTACTGTCAATTGGCTCAGAGTCAACAATGTCGATGTGTATGGAGAAAGCGTTGTCATAGGCAAGTATTTGTTGCAATTGGAAATGTGCTCGTGAAAGTTCGCAAAGTAGCTGTTACAACCTAAAGCCCAAGTTGAATTGAGTTGCTTTATTGAATGGACCTCTCGATTCGGAACAAGAATCGTGAACATGTGAACACTATCGTGAACAAGATCCATAAGACGCGTAACCCCCATCGGTTGTTGAATAACCGCATTTTGCACCTCAGTTCCTCGATGACGTAACAAAGACGTGAGCAATTGAACCGAAATACTAAAAACAGAATTGTAAATAATTTAGTAGAGGAATCATTATAAGTATTCTTATAATTTCCCTAGTACATAACTATTAACCAACCGTCTCACAGCGAACTCATCTTGCTCCAAAACGGCAAGAACCGGTGAAATAAATTGAGGTCGCTTGAGCATTACCTAAACACAAAAATAGCGAAAAAAAAACACAGATATAACTACCTCAGCAAGTCTTTCTCCCAGTTCGCTTTCTTCGGGAACATCATCATCACCGTTCAGAACAAATAAAAACCCTAAACAATAAGTTTAGATAGAGTTTGTCGAAAAAAACCTCAAATGTAAGCGATAAAAGATCGATCGTATTTCTCTCGTTGGTTAGTACGTCCATAAAAGCGTTGAGTCCCAATGTACCAACTGCAAGACGATGTTTCTAAAGTAAAGACTTGTTTTAATTAGTAACTGCAAAAATACTTTGGCCAAATTTTGTCAAGCGCATCTCGACGACGACGATCCAAGTTTCGACCTAAATTTGTTGATTTAAAAATATTGCTAATGTTTTCCATAAAACAATTTCATTTTTCAAACTGTTCTTCTCTACAATCCGCAAATTAAAACCAAAAACTAACCCGCTCAACAAGCCTTTCCACCACTTCGGCTCCATTATCATCAGCTAGGTCCGGCCCGTTCCCACCACCATAAACATGCGGAGCATGAGCCAGGCTAAAATATAACATTGTTAAAACATATTGAAAGTAAATTCGAGAGAACAAACATTTTCTAAAGAGAACTTTTCAGCAATAAACATGCAACGATATAATTCGTTAGCTATTTGGCTATCTGGTAAAACGCCTGCGGCACTTGAATTTTAGACTGTACTTGACGAGTTTCTGTTTCCTGCAAATTTGGATCCATCCAAAGTGATGACATTGGATATGTTCGACTGAAGAGGAATAAAGTTTGATTTACTTTTTGACCTTGGAAACTTTTGAAACGCATTTTATTTGGCATTTAGTCAGATTTAGAGAAAAAATAACCCATTTTCTAATCACGGGAAAACTCTTCTTTAAAGATTGTGACCGTAATTCGATGCTGTATTTGCTTTCGTCAGTTGAAGGGAGAAAAGCTCCAATTAAAAAAGAAAAGCATTGAATGGGGGAGTGGGACAAATGCGACCCTTTTTTGCGCACCCGGCCATTTGCGCACCTTTTTTTCCGCACCTTTTTTCGCGTTTTAAAAAAGCTCTAAAAAGCTAATATTAACCAATTTCTATTCCAAAAGTTGTTTTTCTAGGTAATTTGAGGGTGTAGAATCGAAATTTTGACATAACAGAGCGTGTGGAATCAATTTGAAAGACAAAACGGGTAGGTCAAATTACAGAAAATGGTCGATTTTTCTCTTTGTATAACTCCGTCCGTTCGCTTCCACAAGCTCTGATATGTCAAAATTTCGATTCTACGCCCTAGAATTATCTAGAAAAACAACTTTTGGAATAGAAATTGGTTAATATTAGCTTTTTAGAGCTTTTTTTTAAAACGCGAAAAAAGGTGCGCTAATGGGCAAGGTGCGGAAAAAAAGGTGCGCAAATGGCCGGGTGCGCAAAAAAAAGGTCGCATTTGTCCCACTCCCTTGAATGGCGTTAAAATTTAACACTTTGGTTTATGTTGAAATGTTATTTTGTTTCTTGATTACTGTCTTTTCTTCTCATATTCACTTTGAGACGAGCAAGTATCGATCAAGACTGTTGGGTGACTACAATCCCCAAATCATACTGTGTTGGTTTGAATTCAAATTTGCATAGATTAGAGCAATTAATGCGACTTGTGAGTCTAAGGATTCGCATAAAACTCGAAGCTTTCATGCTAAAAAGTGATAATTCCTTTGCCGCAGGTTCCAGGAAATTTTGTAATTAAACTTTCTCAAGAAATAGTCATAAGTACTTATTTATATATCGAATTGGGTGTGCAAAACATAGAGTCAGCAAAAAAAGGCTTGCACCATTGTCTCCCAAAGGCTTAAAACAAAAAATTTTTCGTAAAAAAAGCGTTTCAGAGAAAACTTGTTGGCAACTAATTCTACTATGGTGGTCTAGTTTCCGAATATATTATTCATTTTTATTGCAAGTTATTCCTTTTGACGTAAAAAAAAACAAGTTTCATTAGAGACACCCGGTTTAGAGCGCAAAAAAGTCTTGCACTATCGTTGTATTCTGTTGTAAACTTTTTCTTTTTGTTACTCACAAAATTACTCACAAAGATTGTCTTTCCTTGAAATAAATTTTCTACTCCAGATAACCTTGATTCAAAAGCTGATTATTGCATAACTTTTTATTAAGAAAAAGTCATAAAAGAGCGTTTTGGTGGTTCAGTTTAGAAATTCTGAAAAATCGCGAACGACTTTTTGGCCAACCTAATACTTGCTAAGCTAAACTTTTCGTTTCCTTTAATTTGTTACTTCATATCGTTTTAGTGAATCTAATCTTTTGAATTTTCAGCTATCCCACAACTTTAAGCGAGAGTGGATGGCTCTCACCTTCTATTCTCTTCTTGAAGCCGCTCTCCTCGTTCTCAACGGAATCGCTGTGCTCAATCGGGATCGCTTTCTCAAGAAAGTTAGTTTGTTTTGTTTTATCACTGTTATCAACCTTTGAAAGATAATATAGCTTTTTGCTAAATATATTTGAGTCGATAAGGGTTTTATCATTGACGTTTTCTCGTTTAGGTCGGATTTGGACAAACGACTCAATCATTTGACGATCCGTCAGGCCAATCGATCAAGGATAAGATTTTCACGTTGATTTTTGCTGTACAAACTGTTATGCGAGGTAAATTTTGTAAAAGCTTAACTGGGTAATCTTGGTGTAAATCCGCTGATAACGGTAGCGCTTTTGCCATTCACCCATTATTTTCTTTTAAATTTTATCAGCAAGCAAGCCTATTAAAATTCCTTATATTATTGTGCCTTTACACTTCCGTGGGCTAAAGAAAGCGTCTTTTGGCGAGAGCACAGAGAAAGGAAAAAGGTCGCAGAAGAGAATCAGCTGAGTGGCTATACACATCGATTTTTCTGGTCAACATGCTTTCGGTCAACGACGGCGTTGACTGAAAGCACGCATTTAACCTTTAATTCAAAAATTTATATAATTTTGTCATAAAATTAATAGCATTGCTTAGTTTTGCTTAAATAAGGACTTTTATTTTTAGTGCCCCTCATTGGCATCAACATTGTTGTCATTATCTTCAAGTTAATTCTTGGTTAATTTATCAAACAAGGTAAGTATTGATTTCCTGATTCAAATACGTGTCTTTTTAGTTTTCATTCTAAATTAAAAATTTTTCTTCGTCTTTTTTGTAAAAATGGATTCCAATGCAGCGTTAGAGTATCAAACGTTTAAAATTCCTTATGAGGTAAAGTTTTTTTTACTTTTTATAAAAATATTTTACGTTTAGACTTTAAATAAACAATTTCGTGAAACCCAAAAATCACTGGGTCGCCAAAGAGCCCGTATACAAGGTAGGGATTTAGTTCCTTGAAAAGTTTATAGGATTCTTTTAGATGCCAAAAATTTGTTAGACACCAAGTTAACTGCCGAAAAACCGATTACATTAGATGAAGTGAGTTTGAATGTGTTTAAAACTATTCAAGTTTTGTGTTTGAGCAAATATAAAACTTGTAAGCAAAAACAATTGTGGTCTATTTTTAATTGTAGATTTCTAATTCATTTGATTCAGGTAGCCGCTCCTCTTGCTGAGTTCAAAAATCGTGTGTCAATGATGGATTCGCTAATCGAGAAAGCCTATGAGGAGCAAGCTGATGGATTACACGATCTTCAACACAGAGCGCATTATTTGCATACTGGAGTTAGTTTTTTAAGAGTTAAAGATTACGAAATTTTCAGGTCGATGGAAGCCTCACAAGCATTGAACAATGGATGTGGGATAAGGAGAGGTGACAGCTACTGTTTGGGTTTGAACTTTAAAATTTAGAGTGGATCGTCTTGTTCTTCAGCACTTACTACGGTGTGGTCACCTTGAGACAGCACGAGCTTTTGCTGAGAAAACTGGGCTCGGACGACTTTGTGATATTTCGATTTTTGAAAAGGCTGATTTGGTGAGTTACTTTTCCTATTGTGCTATTTTAGTTTTACAGTTAATATAATTTCAATGTTTAGAGTTAACTAGCATGAAATTGATTCTGATTTTAGGTAGAAAAGTCACTTCTCAACGGTCAAACGGGTCCCTGTCTCGAATGGTTGCACGAGCACCGGAGTCGGCTGAGGTGTGTAATTTAGACTTCCTAAGAAAAAGCTTTATTAAGGCGCTTGACATCTACTTTTGAGACGGAGATTCGGAGTCACGATGTAATGGAACTCGTTCGAGAAGGGAGACGACTTGAAGCTTTAAAGTAAAAAGCATTAATATAGTTTTTAAATGCTGATATTTTAGATACGTACGTCGATTTTTGGCTCAATCATTGCAAGAGGGGAATGAAAAGATTAGAAAGGTGAGAAGAAAGGTTTTGGACCTGCATAAGAATTAATGGATAACAGATTAAGCGTTAAAGTTTCAATTTTTTTTTAGTTAATGGCAGCAATTGCGTGCGGCGTCGAAAGTAAAGCCTTCAGAGAATTAGATTCACCGAAAGGCTGGGAAGAACTTGTGCGACTCTTTAGAATGGAGAATGCACGGATATATCAGGTTTGTTTTGGTTTTTTGAGAAGTGGTAGTTTGTATATTTGAATCGACACATAATTTGTTCTCAACTTTGGCCATTTAGTTGCCCGAACAATCAATCTTCTCGGCTTGCCTTCAAACGGGAATTTGCGCTCACAAGACTCCATCATGTGCACCAAATGCCAATCCAAAGTAAGATTTTATTAAATCTACGAATTTACATTTGTTAATGAAAAAAAAAAAAACCTTAAAAAAAAAAAAAAAAAAAAAAAAAAAAAAAAAAAAAAAAAAAAAAAAAAAAAAAAAAAATTTAAAAAAAAAAAAAAAAAAAAAAAAAAAAAAAAAAAAAAAAAAAAAAAAAAAAAAAAAAAAAAAAAAAAAAAAAAAAAAAAAAAAAAAAAAAAAAAAAAAAAAAAAAAAAAAAAAAAAAAAAAAAAAAAAAAAAAAAAAAAAAAAAAAAAAAAAAAAAAAAAAAAAAAAAAAAAAAAAAAAAAAAAAAAAAAAAAAAAAAAAAAAAAAAAAAAAAAAAAAAAAAAAAAAAAAAAAAAAAAAAAAAAAAAAAAAAAAAAAAAAAAAAAAAAAAAAAAAAAAAAAAAAAAAAAAAAAAAAAAAAAAAAAAAAAAAAAAAAAAAAAAAAAAAAAAAAAAAAAAAAAAAAAAAAAAAAAAAAAAAAAAAAAAAAAAAAAAAAAAAAAAAAAAAAAAAAAAAAAAAAAAAAAAAAAAAAAAAAAAAAAAAAAAAAAAAAAAAAAAAAAAAAAAAAAAAAAAAAAAAAAAAAAAAAAAAAAAAAAAAAAAAAAAAAAAATAAAATATATAAAAAAAAAAAAAAAAAAAAAAAAAAAAAAAAAAAAAAAAAAAAAAAAAAAAAAAAAAAAAAAAAAAAAAAAAAAAAAAAAAAAAAAAAAAAAAAAAAAAAAAAAAAAAAAAAAAAAAAAAAAAAAAAAAAAAAAAAAAAAAAAAAAAAAAAAAAAAAAAAAAAAAAAAAAAAAAAAAAAAAAAAAAAAAAAAAAAAAAAAAAAAAAAAAAAAAAAAAAAAAAAAAAAAAAAAAAAAAAAAAAAAAAAAAAAAAAAAAAAAAAAAAAAAAAAAAAAAAAAAAAAAAAAAAAAAAAAAAAAAAAAAAAAAAAAAAAAAAAAAAAAAAAAAAAAAAAAAAAAAAAAAAAAAAAAAAAAAAAAAAAAAAAAAAAAAAAAAAAAAAAAAAAAAAAAAAAAAAAAAAAAAAAAAATTAAAAAAAAAAAAAAAAAAAAAAAAAAAAAAAAAAAAAAAAAAAAAAAAAAAAAAAAAAAAAAAAAAAAAAAAAAAAAAAAAAAAAAAAAAAAAAAAAAAAAAAAAAAATAAAAATAAAAAAAAAAAAAAAAAAAAAAAAAAAAAAAATATATAAATAAAAATTTTAATTAAATAAAAAAATTTAAAAAAAAAAAAAATAAAAAAAAAAAAAAAAAAAAAAAAAAAAAAAAAAAATTAAAAAAAATAAATAAAAAAAAAAATTTAAAAAATAAAATTTATAAAAAAAAAAAATAAAAAAAAAAAAAAAAAAAAAAAAAAAAAAAAAAAAAAAAAAAAAAAAAAAAAAAAAAATAAAAAAAAAAAAAAAAAAAAAAAAAAAAAAAAAAAAAAAAAAAAAAAAAAAAATAAAAAAAAAAAAAAAAAATTAAAAAATTAAAATATTTTTTAAAATTTATATTAAAATATATAATTTTTATTATATTTTTATATATTATTATTTTTTTTAATTTATTTTTTATTTTTTATTTAAATATATAATAATTTTTTTTTTTTTTTTTTTATTATTTTTTTATATTTTTTTTTAATATTTTTATTTTTTTTATTGTTGACGCTGACATATTGCTTTAGCTGCATTGCCTGTGATACAACCGTGCACACTCTGGCCGCCGATCTTCCATTTGCAAATGTTTCGAATTCGAAGTAAGTTGGATTGAGCGTATCGCAAAAAATTGTTTTAGGCTCTTATGTGGATTGACGGGCGAGCCGCTCGATGAGAAAAACGTTCCGATGATGCTCGAGTCAGGTCGTGTTTATGGAGAGAAAGCTGTTTTGCAACTACGAGAGGGAGATTACATCAGGTAAATTCTTGGAAAGGTTTACATAATTGGTTGGAAACAATTTAAACGGCACGCATTGATTAAATTAACAAGTAGCATGAACTTTTAGGTGCCCTCGAACCAACACGAAAACGCACGTGAAACAATTGGCCCGGCTCTTCATCTTGTGATTTTTAGCTCTCTTTTGTGATTTTGGGTTTTCTTAGTGTAAATAAATATTATTGCAATAAAAACCAGAACAATTCGAAAAAGCTTACGAAAAGACAAAAATTGGGAACCAGAACTTGAAGGCGAGGGCCAAAAGGACGCGTGAAAATTTGCCTGTATGACTGAAAAAATTTCCATTTAACCGAACAATATAAAGAAAAAATTAGCCCTGAAAATCTCTTTCAACACTTCTCGTCTCATCAAATGGCCGCCAATCGTCTCTTCGTGCTTTATTTTCTAGTCGCTTTCTCGGGCTTAGTCGAAGGCGCCGGTCGATATGCATGCTACATAAAATACGCTTCTTCTGTTCTGAAGCAATTCGTTTTTTTTTGTATTTTCAAAAAACAGCTTTTTTGGTGAATTGATTGTTTTGTTGTTAAACCTTTTTGGCTGTCCATTTTGACTGTTGTTGTGGATAAAGAGGCTTGCATGGGCACGGGCAAACTTGTTTTCACTACTGTTGTCCGTAAGGAAAATCTGAAATTCATTGGTAACTGACGATCTTATTCTAATTCTAAAGCTTAACCTTTTTCTGGATTGTTATCTGTTTCATTATATTCGTTTGTGTCTTTCTTATTGTTACTTGTTATTGTACGTATTGAACTTAGCTTAACTGTGTGTGTTATAGCGTTTTGTGGCGAGATTGGGCTGCTACGCACGTAATTTCAAGCGTTGAAGTAAAAATTAGCTGCTTCAAAGGTCGTTCGGACTGATGCTTACTGTGTAACTGCTCATTTTATAATACACCACAGACTTAAATATTCAGCTGAGTTAATTAAATTCTAAGCAAATAAATCAAATCAACTACAAAGCACGAGCTCGGGCAATCAGAGGTGCTAGCAAAAGCACCACGCTTTTTGCGCCGACTATCATTTGCGCCAAATTTGCGCTTGTGAAACTCACTATGACAAATCACTTTTCCCCAACTTCTAATCAACTTCTTTTTTTCAGTTTTCTGCTTCACAATTTTAATTCACACTGTTTTCAATTAGAAAACATTTAAATACCTATACAGACCCCAAAAACAGTCATTTTTGCGCCCCCGTTTAGGCTTTTTACTCTCTATATTGATCTTATGCCATTTTCAGATCCGGTGAAGGCGGCAAAATAGCGAGCATCATCGATGAGAAAAAGCTGAAAAAAAAATATAGTGTGTTTTTTAGGAAAGTGTGTTGAAAAGCGCAGATTTAGTGCAAATGATACGCAAAAATTTTCAGCACAAAAAATTCGGCGCAAATAATTTTGCGCTTTTTCTAGCATTTCGGTAATCGCGGATTTTAGTTTTGAGCCAAAACTGAAACATGAGATCCCTTATTTTTTGACTCTACATCCAAAAATGTACCACACCACATTAAAATCGGTCAATTGGAGGCCTAGAGTGCGACTACGCGACACCCGATAACGCAGCTGAAAATAGGCCATTTGGGCATAGTTTTAAATAAGGATTAACCAATAATTGGTTAATCCTTATTACAATAATAACCAACAACTCTTCATCAAAGCAATACCGGGACCATATCCTGAATATCCTTCGAAGCCGTCGGTAAAAGTTGGAAGAGTCGTTGTTTTGTGCCGAGACAGCAATCTCTCGTGTCTCATTCAAAAGAGTTGACAGTCGCTTTTGTTGGCCTCTCTGACGCCGAATCATTCAATTGTTATAAGAAAAGCGATGGATTGAAGGAACAATACGTGGGTGCTATTTTTGATTTAGTACCGTTTAAATGCTGCTAGTTAAAAATAAAATCGCTCGAATGTTTGCCTAATGTTTACTTCTTTACAATGGGCTTTTACTTTTAGAAGGTCATTTGTGACGTAAACGTATGCGTAGCGACTATTGACGGAAACAGGGTGAGTAATTTTCGTCATTCCTTAACCATTATTTTAAGGTGAAAAAAGGTTGTGCAAATCCTGATGGGATCATTGATTTAATCAAGGTGTCTACTGGCGTGCAAATTCGGTATCAAGCGTGCGATCTCGAAGTAATCTATGTTCGTCGAAGCATTCTCTTCAACTTTAATTTTAGATTAGCGGCCCTGATTCTCATTATGTGGATCCAAATGCGGATGCTGGCATTCAAACAATACTGCTGCCAAGGCGATCTCTGCAACGAGGTAGCGCTTTTGTTTATATTTTCTAGTATATAGGGAAGCTTTCTATAACCTCACGATAGAATTATAACCTCATATAACCATTTGACCTCATTTTAACCGTGGAGGTTCGTTAGAAGTTAGAAGAAAAGTTCGTTACTATATGGTCTCTCTCTCATCGGTGATTTGATGTCTTTTTAAAATTATTATACCACTTAGGCTGGCAACGGTGCGGGACTCTTCGGCATGTCGATTCCACTTCCCATTCTCCCATCGAATGGCCGCCAATCGTCTCTTCACACTTCTCTCACTCATCGTTTTTCTTGGCCTCTCCGACGCTGTACTATTCAATTGCTATAAGAAAAGCAGCGGATTCCCGGAAGAATACGTGGGTTATCTTTTTGCTCTAATATTGTTTGTATAAACTCCGGTTATCTAGGTTTTAAATTTTGGTAGAACAGAACAACTTCTTCATTTATAATCGAAGTTTCTAAATTTGTTGCTGGTGTTTAAGTTTCAGAAACTGTATTGAGTTTGCCACTGACTCAACGTATTGCCACTGAATAAAATTTGCCACTGACTGAGTCAGTGGCAAATTTTATATTGAGTTTAATGGTAAATCACTTTTTGAGAAATCTTATATTTTAGAAGACCAATTGCGAGATGAACATGTGCGTCACATATACAAAAGGAGATGAGGTAACTGGATCTCATGTGCATCCATTCAACTTTAATTTTAGATGTTCAAACGTTGTGCATACCCCGAAGAGTCAATTGAGCTTTATAAGGCGAGCGACGACAAGACCTACACGTATAAAGAGTGTGATCCCGAGGTGTTTTAGTTGTTTTTAATAGTGATTTTCTTTTGTTTTTAGATTAACGCCGCTGGCTTTTATACAATGATCAAAAATCCGAAAACAAATCTGGATGAGCGTCGTGAAACCAAAATAACTTGCTGCCAGGTGATCTCTGCAATGAGGTAACGTTTTTGGTGTTAGCTTTCTGTTAGCTTTATAAGGATTCTTTGATTTTGGCATTCTCTTAATATTTTTATAATAATTTAAATAGTTTAAATACGCAATAAAAAAGTTTACTTACTTGGATTCAATGCATTTTCTTTTAGGGCGCAGGACTTTTTGGCATATCTGCTCCTATTTGCTCTCCCGTTTGCCGGATTTTTCTTCTGAAACACTACGGGTATCTTGTTTTTCTTTGAATCAGGAAAAATCTGTTTTAGGCTCTATCTACTTTACTTTACAAGAAATGAATACTTCGAGAAGAAAACGAACATTCCACGCTACTGCCTCCTGGTGAAATTTGTGCCTTTTTCGACAATAGATCTATTTTAGGATTTATTTTTGTTGTGATTTTGTAAAAAGCATAATATATCTTCGGGATTTTCAAAAGTATTGTTGCAAAGAACATCAAAAGAACTATGATAGAAAGAAACTTCAAAAAGAGAAACCGTAAAAATCCAAAAAGATTTGATCTGTGCTTCCATTTCGCTAACATACGGTTATCGATAAGCAAGTCTTCTGAGCTTTCTGAGTAGAAATGATGAATTTCATGAGATTATTTAGTTAAGCTGGTGGCTTTTGGGTGGTGGTCGAACAATCTACAAACAAGCCACACCCAGGAAGCTTTTCCGAGTAAAGAAAAATGATGACGTGATAAGAAAACACCTCATTTCGCATCAATCCCCTTATCTTTTTTCTAAAATTCGTTCAGAGAAGTGGGTTAATGGACTTTGAAGGCGTATAAATAGATGAGATTTTTCAGATGGATGAGATATCCGATTTCACCGAGGTCTACAAAAATGAAACATTTCGTGACGGCTCTTCTCTTTGTTGGCTGTGGTTGGTTTAGAAAATTGACTTCATTGAGTCTGTTATAGAATTTTTTTAGTGCCATAAGCTTGTATTTCTTGTAGATATTGTAAAACTCAAGTGTGTACTCTGGTACTTTATGACTGAATATCTTTTACTTTGATTTAAAATGCGGATTTTCTTTCTCTAGCACACTAGTAAGACAGAATAAATGGACAGTACCGGCTTGTCTATAAAACTTCGTGCAAAATAGGAAATGACTACAGTCGTATAGATCAACTTTCTACCGTAACCATTTTAAAATTTATATAAAACTAGTTTAGTAAAGGTTACGATAGAAACATTGCAAATCTGTCCAATGTTTAAGCATATTCAATCATTTAGCCATCGCTCAACGAACCACTCCAGCCGCCTGCCCAACTGGATGGTACCAAAATGGAAACATGTGCTATACGGTAAGTTTGCTCATAAATTAACATCTATATCAAACGATTTCTAGACAAAAACGAACACCGCAAACACGTGGAGCATGGCGGAAGCCGATTGTGCGAATGATGGTGGACATCTTGCCTCAATTCATGACAATGCGGTGGGTGATTACAGTTTTATGGTACTCAAACTTTGAGCTACAGTATTACGGTAAAGTACAAGCTAGTTTTCAGACAGGCAATTATTTGGTTGATTTCATCTGGCAACACGGAATCGCGTCGGCCGCTTGGATTGGCCTCCGCACCGATCCAAATGGAAATTTCACCAACTGGAGCGATGGATCGAGAATTGACTACAAGAATTTTGGCCGTAAGTTTTATAGATTTATAAAATGGTAATTCGTGCAGGACACTTAGAATTTACAGTACACTTACATCTTTTTTCCAGCTGGCCAAGACCCGCCACCAGTCTGCTACGCGATCTCGGTCTCCCGCTCCTACTACCCGGGGAAATGGCTCTCAATGGTAAGTCTACAAACTTTATGTAGCAAAAAGCTTTCTGAAATAGATTTATGACATTTTGTCACAGTTTTGTTAAAATTTTTCAATCTCAATTTTCAGCCGTGTGACTCTCATTTCCGTGCGATCTGCGAGCGTCCACTTGGCGGATATACGACACCCAGACCAGCCCCGACTTGCGGAAATTCGACTTTCTTTGGAAATGATGGAAATGTGAGTGCTTTAGAAACAGCTTTACTGATAAATAACCGATATTTGATTTCTTTTGACTCAATCAAATTCTTGTCTACAAAGTCATCTTCCAGATCTACTCACCCGATTACCCGAACGACTTCTCGGCCCAAGAAAGCTGCAACTACAAGATCAGCGTCTTCAACAACTATGCCAACATCGAAGTGCCGCCAATTATGGCTTTGGTGAGATTAGATGGCTCTTAGACTAAGAAGAAATCAGCTTTTAGTCGGAATACTTCAGCTCTAACATTACTTTTTCAGCTCTCTTGGTCGATCACTGTTTACAATGGACTCGACAGGGATAACACTCAACAAATCTTCTACGATAGCTCGAATGGTAATCAACCAAGAAATTACACTGTTGGATTGTCTGCTTCATCGCCACAGGTTTATTTTAAAAGTGAAATATCATTTGCAATTTTCATAATCATTTACAAACAACACATTTCAGCTATTAGTCGTTTTCTACTCGACTCAGGACAACTCCGTTCGGCCATTCAAGTTGCACTATACGGGAACGGATCGTAAGTCTTGTAAATTTATATAAATTGGATCCAACAATGTTTTGGAATCTGCTTTTTAAAGAAAAAAAAGGTTTAGGTTTAAAATGAGTTCAGCTGACTTGTTGATTTCAAAAAAGTCCTAAATTCTAGAACCTGTCTACACCACGGTCACCACTCCAAGGCCATAAAGATGATAATTGCATAATAAAGATAATTTCTTTGAGCGTATGACAAACAAACAGACAGACAGACAAAAAAAACAAACAACAAACAAGCTTTTCTACTTTGTTGAATTACGGGACTACGGTACGGATAACGAGATTTGGCTACAGTAGACGATAACGAGATTTGGCTACAGTAGAGTTCTTAAACGTGGATTACAGACACTCAAGCTTTATAAAGGTGACGTTTAGAAGTTAGAAATGAAAGCAGAACAGATTAATGTTATTCTAAAAATTGAATCGATTTTTCAACTTGACCGAATGAACGATTTTTAGCACTGATCAACTTGACAAGCCAGTAAGATAGCCAAAAAGAGAAAGAAAAACGATTCGGTGCAATAAATGATAACGATTTTCTACCAAAAAGATCTTTTTTTTTGGAAATCAAAAGCTTTCCCGATAGTTTCCCAGTTCTAATTTTGCTTTCCAAATGCCGAAAATCGTCGTTGTTGGCGCGGGGATTATCGGACTTTCGCAAGCATGTATTTTACAGGAAAAATTTCCCGATGCTGAGGTTTGTTAGGGTTTTAGATTCATTAGATTAGATTAGATTTCGATTTAATTCAAATCATTTGATAATTTAGTTGATTATTGCTTTAAAGAATGGTTTTTAGTGAGTAAACTTATTCAGTACAATAGCTGAACAGTAGCCAGTAACTTATTCAGTACAATAGCTGAACAGTAACCAGTTCACCCGAACAATAACTTTAGCTTTTGAATAAAATCTAAATATTGGGTTGGTGAATTGAAAACTGCCGGCTATTGTCATATGTGACAGTTTGAGCACTTTCTTCAAAAGAAACCCATTTTAGTGTCAATGGAAAAGTTGTAGAGAATCAAAAATTAAGCTTAGATCCAAATTTTCAGAACGATTCAAAAACTGGTTTTCAAGAAATGCCAAATGTTACGAATTTTCACAAAACTTGCATTTTAAGCGAAACTACTAAGTGTATCTTTTTGGAAATTTGGCTATAAGCCTAATTTTTGATTCTCTACAACTTTTCTATTGACACCAAAATGGGTTTCTTTTGAAGAAAGTGCTCAAACAGGGACATTCCTCCGTTTTTGAGTCTCCAGTCCTCCATTTTTGAGTCTCACACTTGTCTCACACACAAACCAAAATCCTATTACGAAAGAGGAATCCTCAAATTGCCTGTAAAATGGGCAGAAGTCGTCAATAATAGTGGAAATCATTTGGAATGAATTGATGGTTTTATGTTCAACAAATTTTAGCTCAAAGTCCCGCAGTTTTCAATTCACCAACCCAATAGTTAAATTTAAGTTAAACAGAAACAGAAATTTTAAATTTGATAAGTAAATTATCTTAGAAATTTTTTCGATAAGTTTCTCTATTCGATTTTGAATAAAAGATTTGCTTTTAGATTACAATAGTTGCTGGTGATGTCTCACCGAATATTACATCGGATATCGCAGCTGGCTTCTGGCATCCATATCTTTTAGGAGATGATATACCAAAAGATACGCTTAAGTGAGTTAAAAAGTGTTTTTAGATTCGGATATAGATTATATATTATACAATAATTTCATTAATTTCTTTAATTTCTTTAATTTCTTTAATTTTTTTAATTTTTTCTCAAGATTTAACTCTAGTTTAGATTTAAAAAAACAAAAAGATTAAGCAAAATTAGTCTCTAATCTAAAAATTGTAGAGATTTATAGAAGTTCACGTAGTCATTCTTATCAAATTTCGGTCGGTTCTCATCCCCATCATCTTTCCCTTTATCATTCTTTTGCGAACCGTATTAGTAGGGTTTGGAATAAGCTCCCGTCTGGTATCTCCTCGTCTGTAGGAAAATTCAAAGTATCTGTGAACGAATTAGATCTTATTGCCATGTCAAATCTGCCTGCCCTATATTTAATCTTTTTGTATCTGTGTTTCCTAACTGTACTCTTACTGTACTATCTTTAGTTCTCTCTCTTTTTTTCGGTGAGAGTATTGTAGCAATATGTTATATGCAGTTATGATTATCTGATTCGCTTCTATTCGCCCCATGAATAAAGCTATATATATATGTTGTGTCCGATTTAGATTTCCGTCCGATTTAGATTGAACTTATCGCGGACGTCCGATTTAGATTACAGTCTATATCGGACGTCCGATTTAGACTGTAATCTAAATCTTATATAGATTGAACAATAATACGTCTTAAACATGCTTGAATATATGAAATTCTAAAAGCGATTTTCTTTGAAAAGTAGAATTTTCTGACATTTTTCAACACGTCTTAATTATTGATTTCGGTCTATATCGGACGTCCGATATAGACTGGAACAATAATAAACTAAAATGAAGTTTTGAAACGCTACAGAAAACTAGCTTAAGAACATATATTAAGCATGTTTATATTATTGTTCAATCTATATAAGATTTAGATTACAGTCTAAATCGGACGTCCGATATAGACTGTAATCTAAATCGGACGTCCGCGATAAGTTCAATCTAAATCGGACGGAAATCTAAATCGGACACAACATATATATAATCCTTTCTGAGCTTCTAATTCGTTTTCTAAAATGTGCTAACTTTGCGTAACTCTTGCAGCTAATCTAGAGTGCAGCTAATCTAAAAATCTATTTGAGATTAAACTACTGTAATCTAACCACTAGTTTTCATTTTGATCAACTCAATTTTAGTATTATTCGATAAGAGATAAAGCTCAGTTAATGATAAGAAAATTTGAGCTGATTAAATGGGATAGAAAATGGCTGATTCAATTTTTTCAAATTCAATTCAGACGCTGGCTTGGCGAAACTTTCGACTACATTTTACGCTTTGCTCGCTCTCATCCGACTCACGGTGCGATGATCATTAGTGGGTTAGTCGAGTTTTCTTTGCTACTATTCAGCTAATTTTAGCTATTTAATAAGTACCAAATTAACTGAATTCAAATTTAGATACGAATTCAATCGAAAAGCCTTGAAAAAGCCGGAGTTTGCTGACTTTTTCCTCCAATTTCGAGAGCTTTCCCCGAAAGAAGTGCTAGAAGCGCGCGGGAAAGAGGCCTATCCAGTTGAGTGAGTGTTTTGAAAATAAATAAAATGGGGGGACAAACGACCTTTTTCGCACCGGTGGCACACCTTTGCTTGGGAAAGGCCTTAGAAAGGTTGTAGAGCTCGAAAATATTTCCATATGAAGAGGTCGATGGTGAATCCGATTCCGAAAACAGCCCGCTGACACGTCAAATTTGGGTTAAAAGCAAAACAGCACAACTCAGCTTTCCTTTAGCCCTAAATTTGACGGCCAGCGAGGTCCGATTTGTCGAAATTCGGAATCTACGCATACGACCCTTATATGGAAAAATTTTCGAAATATTTTAAGCCCTTCCCTAAGGCCTTTCCAAAAAGGTGCGCAAATCTCGGGGCAAAAAAGGTGCATGTCCCACCCCATAAAATGTATTTTGGTTGTCTTAGAGTCAAAAGAGCATTCAATCAGAGTATTCAAGCTCAACCTAATTTTCGGTCTCATTTAGCGCAAATTTTTGCAGTTTTGAATCCTAAAAAGGTAGCCAAAGTACAGTAGCTTGGACAGTAGCTTGTACAGTAGCTTGTATAGTAGCTTGGATAGTAGCTTGGACAGTAGCTTGTACAGTAGCTTGGATAGTAGCTTGGACAGTAGCTTGGACAGTAGCTTGTACAGTAGCTTGGATAGTAGCTTGGACAGTAGCTTGGACAGTAGCTTGTATAGTAGCTTTCCGTACTCTTAAACTAGCTTTTTAAATAATTACTGTACTAGAATTATTGAAAAATTATTGTATTCCTTTTTACAGACAAGCCTGGTTCTACACAACGGTTTTTCTCGAAACGACTCTTCATTTGAAATATCTTTTTAACAAGTGGGTTTAGATATGGTTTTAAGTATTTCTAGATATAGTTTTTAGTCTAATTTATAAATTAAAATCTTTCTACAGCTTTAGTAACACTTGTATAGTAGCTTTCAGATATCTTTCCAACGGTGGCCTTCTCGAGCGGCGTTGGCTTAAATCGATCGACGAGCTAGGAGAAAAGGTGCTCAATTTTTTTACAATATGAAAATTTACATAATGAATTAGAATTGGTTCTTTACGGATAACGGGGGGACCAGCGATGATCGGGAGCGGGAGTTAGTTACTTCGGCTACCTTTTTAGAATTTAAAACTGCAAAAATTCTCGGTCAACTTGCAGTCCGATTTTAGATAGGTTTTTGTTAATAACTTTTGATAAAATAAATAGTTTCTGAAAGCTGACGTTCTAAGTTATCTAAATCTTATTAAAACTTTCTGATCTGACAAGTTTAAGGTGCTTAAAAATGGGCTGAAAGTTTGGCAAAAAATTGACCCTCGCCGATAATCGCTGATCGCGCCGTTATCCGTAAAGCATCTAGAATTCAATTCGTTATCAAAGATCTAAGATTTAAAGATCTAAATTGTAGTTTAAAGATCCAAATTCTAGTACGATCTGATCTTCAACTGTACTGGACTTGGCGCAAACAAGTTGGTCGACGATTTTGGGGTTTTTCCGACAAGGTATTGTTTTTCATATCTTTAAATATTAGATAAATTATATATTTTACTAGATCTTATAGTAAAATCGAGATAAATAACGGTAAAATTGAGGTAAAATTGAGATAAAATAGAGTCAAATCGAGATAAAATCGAGATAAAATTGAGCACTTCTAGAGGTCAAATCATCCGCGTTCGCTGCCCAGAAGTAAAGCATTTCTTCATCGACGAAGAGACTTATTGTTTGCCAAAGTTAGTTTAAAGAAAAGACTCTAATCTTTTGCTATATATTCAAGAATTTGAATTCATATTTACAATGGATTGCAAAAATTTTAGCTCCGAAACAACGGTGCTTGGTGGAACGGCGGAGAAAAATGATCACGATCTCTTGATTCGGCCAGCCACCGCGAAATGGATTCTCGAAGAGAATATCAAGAAAATACCGGCTTTAAAAGTTAGCTGAAAGGCTTAGGCTTATGCTTAGGCTTATGCTTAGGCTTAGGCTTAGGCTTATGCTTAGGCTTAGGCTTAAACTAATTAATTGACGATTAGAAAAACAGGAAATTTTTCAGAATGCTGAAATCGTTTCGCATAAAGTTGGACTCCGACCAACGAGAAGTGCTGTTAGATTGGAGACTGAGTACCGGACTATTGGAAAGAAACGGGTTTGATTTCGATAATCGTTCTTAAGTCAAGTTTACGCGGGCGTTTTTAGCCCAGTCGTGGTCTAGTGGATAGTGTGCTAGCATACAGATCGAACCGTTTTGACTGGGTTCGATTCCCCCACTTGTCGAACTTTTTCTGTTTCACAAATTCTTATACTATTTTTGCTTTGTTTTTAAGTGGTTATTTGGATGTAAGATCTGGTTGGGTCTAGATCTAGTTCTAGTATATCTATTTCTAGATCTAGTATATCTAGTTCTAGTTCTAGTATATCTATTTCTAGATCTAGTATATCTATTTCTAGATCTAGTATATCTATTTCTAGATCTAGTATATCTATTTCTAGATCTAGTATATCTATTTCTAGATCTAGTATATCTAGTTCTAGTTCTAGTATATCTATATCTATTTCTAGTTCTAGTATATCTAGTTCGAGTATATCTAGTTCTAGATCTAGTACTAAGCTTCATTTCTAGTACCAGAACAGAAATCATTCAAAGGGACTTGAACTAGACGAATCCAATCACCGACTTATCACAGACTTATCACATTTTGAGTGAAAGCTTACCGAATGGCGGACAGAGCCGTCGAATTACGGATGTAGATCTTGAAATGGAAAGCCTGTAGCCTTTAAATAAAATAGAAAAATATAGAATCTAATCATAGCTCTTAAAAAAACTCACCTTTCTAGGTGCCAATCATTCACAATTACGGTCACGGCGGATCGGGAGTGACCCTCTTTTATGGATGTGCCCTAGATGGGGCAAAACTTGCCGCAAATGTCATACAAAAGTCGAAAATTTAAGAAAAACTATATTCTTATTAAATTTTCCATGTCATTTTTTGTCTTTTTTGCCTTTGATAACTATTTATTATCTGGATACGTGCAAATGAAAGGCAATTCCCGATCACAGTCAACTGTCCACCAATCACCGGTGACACCAATCGCTGCACAACTCTTCGCCGGGTTTTCGCTTGGCTCATTTGCTAAAATCGATTTGTCATCGCCGATTTAGACTTAAGAATTAGTTTTTTTTTAATTTTTGCTTTGGTAAATGATGTGGATGCTTTGGTAAATGATAGATGATTATCAAAAACATCTTTTAGAGAGGATTCTTTAGCAGACAGCACATCGGAGATTTCACTTACTGGCCCAATTCTTGTAGACAAGCTCCGTCCCATCCACATAGCTCCACTCGCCGTTTACTTCCAGCTTTTCCACTCCAATGTATGTAAGATTTGAGTAAAGAAGGGAGGCTAAATTGAAAGATTTCCCAAGAATAGATGTGAATGAGTTGGTGAATGAGTCTTGACTGCTTTTTGATACTTCTATTTATATGTCGTAGCCGATTATGAATGAGTGGGTCTAGGAGCGTCCAACCATCAAGTATTTAGTATCATTCAACGCAGAATCATTGATAATTATGTTAAATTTTTGAAATTAGAAAGATTGGATAAAAAGAAAAAAAATTATGAAGCTTCAAAGTTTTCTCTTGAACAAACAGTTTTTTTTGCTCTAATTTTTTTTTCTTTTTTATCAAATCTTGCTAATTTAAAAAATTTAACATAATTATCAATGATTCTGCGTTGAATGATACTAAATACTTGATGGTTGGACGCTCCTAGACCCACTCATTCATAATCGGCTCCGGGGATCCAGCCGATTTTGAATGAAACGTTGTAGCGCCGGCAATTTTTAACCTAAACTCACAAATTTGGTACCAATCGACGCAGAATTGAATTCGCTACAAGATGATATAATATTGTCCTCATACATTAAAGGGTTGCTCTACTAGAAAGATTTGCCAAAAAATTTCATTCATAATCGGCTACGACATATATACCGTAAATACTGTAATAGTGCCCCATCGCCCTCGTACAGTCGCGTAGTTTTTTTAACTTGCCTACGGGGGTCCCGTCGATTTTGAATGAAACGCAAAAGTTTTTTAGTATTTCATTTTTTTCAAAGCGCCCGTACTTTCAAAAAATGCGTCTTTGGTACCAAAAGATAGCCCTGAATTTCAGCTATTTTTTGATACCTAAGCGCGCATTGTAGCATAAACGAGTGTCGAGAAAAACTCGTTCAAAGCTAGACTACGCAGCACTCCGCACCGTCATTATGGGGGTGGGGTACTATTACAGTATTTACGGTAAATACTTTATTCAGGACCTGAAATAAAGTTCGCTAGATTACATGAAATGAAAGTATAAAAAAGGCCATTTATTTTAATTTATCATTAATCTAATAATCTTTTAGTGTTCAATTAGATCGAATGTTGCATTGTGATTGGACAAGAATTTGTTCAGTACAAGTTTATTCTTTCTTTCTCTCTTTCCTTTTCTCTTTCTTTCTCTCTTTCTTTCTCTCTTTCTTTCTTCCTTTCTTCCCCCTTGTCTTTTCACTCTTTCTCTTGCCCATTTAAGATCCCGGATAGCTAAGTGGTTAGAGTGATTGTTTGGAAAGGAAAATCGAGGTCGAGAGTTCAATTCGCTCTCCGGAAAGAAATCTTTTTTGCTAATTCTTTATTATATTATGACCTAAAGTACAGTTTTTAGTACTGTAAGTACTTTAGGCTAAAGTACAGTCTATAGTACTAAGTACTGTAGACTAAAGTACAGGCCATAGTACTGTAAGTACTGTGGACTAAAGTACAGCCTATAGTACTGTAAATACTGTAGGCTAAAGTACCATCTATAGTACTAAGTACTGTAGGCTAAAGCACAGTCTATAGTACTGTAGGCTAAAGTACTGTAAATATTTTTGAGACTCACGATTAACGAGCAAAGCGGCTTGTTGATTTTCGTAGGCGTTTTTCGGTTGAACTAGTTGACCCTGAAATAATAAAGCTATTGAAAAAAGGATTCGGTAAGTGCACTGGGAAGTTTGCGTTTACATTTCTAAGCAAAAAGTACTAAGAAAAATGAGGCTTACTTGGAAAAAGTCCAAATGAATACAAGACTGACGGGCCGAGTTTTGACTCACAGCTGAATTTTGATTTTTGATTTTTGAATTTTGATTTTCTTTTCAACTTTAAAGTAAATTACTTTAGCTGAATAGTTGAATAGTTTTATTTTTAAAAGATTTAATTGAATATCTTTAATGTCTTTAATTGAATACCTTTAATATCTTCAACTAAATATCTTTAATGTCTTTAACTGAATATCTTTAATACCTTTAACTGAATATCTTTACTATCTTTATTTCACTATTTTCAAATCCACTCACCCGATCCGAAAGCCTGAATGCATTCGTTTTGATCGGAGAAATCGATGGCTCCATTTTGACATCCTTCACCGTGCACGCAAAGTACGGTAACAAAGACGAAATTTAGCAAGAACAGCTTTAGCATTATGAATTTTTAAGAAAATCTTCAAATCAATAGAAATTTGTGACGTATTTGAGTCAAGGATAAGCCTTATCTCAGCCGAGAGACCAGAGAAAGCATAAAGCATAAGCATAAAGCATAAGCATAAAACATAAGCATAAGACATAAACATACACCATAAAGCAAAGCAAAAACTATTCTAGAAAACGAAGAGAAGAGAGAAATAGAGAAATAGAGAATCAAAGAGAAATATCCGAAGCTAAAGCTAACGAAATCTAGTCTTTGAGAAGTAGCTTTTTAAGTTTTCTTTCGTTGAAAAGCTACCGATTAAGCAATAATGATAATAATAATCTCCGAAAGACCTAAGCAAGAAAAATTCTTTGCTAAAAGACTAGATACTAAAATATAAAACATCAAAATGTTTAAAGTGAGACTTTTATGCAAAAATGATCTTAAATACCTAGTCTAAGTTGTAAATTCATTCCAAATAAGCTGACTATCTAATTGCGAGAAAAACTTTTCAAAATTGTCACTGATTATGCAAAACAAATGATAAAGAATGCATTTTTCTCAATGGAATGTCTATATAGGCTTATATATATTAGATCCGAGCTAGAATTTGGACGACTAGAATTCGGACATCTAGAATTCGGACGACTAGAATCCGGACATCTAGAATTCGGACATCTAGAATTCGGACGACTAGAATTCGGACGACTAGAATTCGAACGTCTATAATTCGGGCGTCTAGAATTTGGACGACTAGAATTCGGACGACTAGAATTCGGACATCTAGAATTTTGACATCCGATCTAGAGTGAAGTGAGGTCAAACGTCCGATCTAGAATCAAATTTTTGACGCATTTCAACGCGCCAAAGATGGGATACTCGAAGTTTTTGATTTTCAAAGCTGTTTTTCTTTATGATAGAGTACTGGAATCGCTCTGAGACTACGATTTTCGGAAGCTACGCAAATGTAGCTTGTGTCGGTTTACCTCTTCGGAAGCTACGCAAATGTAGCTTGTGTCGGTTTACCTCTTCGGAATCTACGCAAGTGTAGCTTGTGTCTGTTTACCTGTTCGCTCAAAGATGCCATTACCCGCGAGTGGAATGCCATTCCAAGAAGCACCATCAAGAAGCTAGTTAACAGCATGCTGAGTCGAATATTTGACGTGATCAGTCTATGCAAATGTAGCTTCTGTCTCTTTACCTGTTCGGAATCTATGCAAATGAGCTTGTGTCTGTTTACCTCTTCAACTCTTTTCGTATTTCAAAAACAACAAAATTTTTATTGCTAAAATATAGATCAATATCTAGATCTGTGAAAGAAGAGAGAAATTGTAAGAAGGGAAGAAAATTTGTGATTTTTTTCAGTCTTTCAATGTAAAGACACGGCCATCAAGAACAACCATTTGATAGGGATGACCATTAGAGAAACGATAGTCCCTAAAAGGATTTTTGTTCTTAAAAATATCAAGAATTTGCTGTATTTGTTGAATTATATTTAGTTTTAGATCTTTTTTTTAAAATTTACCTGTAAAAATCTTGAAAATTTCGTCGTGGCATGATCTTTGTTAATGAGCGAGCGTCACTGAAATTGAAATTTGGCTAATCATTTGGCTAATCATTTGGCTAATCATTTGGCTAATCATTTGACTAAATTCAATATTTCTAAATGAATTATATGATTCTTATTTAGTTCTTATTTAGTTCTTATTTAGTTTACAACAAAAATTTCAACTTAGAGATTTGTATTTACATGAAAAGTGCTTGAAAAAGAGAGTGATTAGGTAAATGCATAAGAAATGCGGAGATTACTGACGTTTATGGACCCGATTTCGTTTATGAACCCGAAACACGTCTTGAATTCAGGATTTCAACATTTCAACATTCAACATTCATTTCCAACGATAGAAAACTGATATCGATGAATGTTATAAAGTATTTGAAAGTTGTAAATCTCCTCTACAAAATAGGCTAAAACGTTTTTCAATTGATCGAACCATTGAAAAAGAAAATAATTGAACTAAGGTAGGGCTGACGAGCGAGCACTCTGTGCCAAAATGCCGATTAGCCTTTATGTGAGCCTTTATGCGTACTTTTTACGTACTTTGGGTACCGTATTTTCTCTAATAGTAGTGCACCCCAGCGAGATGACTATTTTACGGCTTTCAAAGTTTTCCCAGAAGCTCAACACTTTAATCCCCCAAAAGATCTCATCGTCAGCTACATTTTCCGACCCCTCATCGATAGGTTCTGATAAGCGGTTCTCGAGATTTCGAGCAATTTAGGCGACGCTCAGGGTGCACTACTATTAGAGAGAATACGGTAATTGAACTAAGGTAGGGCTGACGAGCGAGCACTCTCTGCCAAAATGCCGATTACATGCCTTTATGCATACTTTTTGCCTAAAACTGTAACCAAATCTATTCTATTGCACTTAAATTGCTTATTTTAACTAGTTATTCAAAGTTGTTGCTCTTATTTAAAAAGGATTTAATGAGGTGTGAAAGGTTGTGTTTAAATTGAGCTCAAAGTCCCGACGAAGATTAGGTAAATGCATAAGAAATGCGGATTTCAACATTTCGACATTCAACCTTCATTTCCAACGATAGAAACCTGATATCGATGAATGTTATAAAGTATTTGAAAGTTGTAAATCTCCTCCTGGAAATGCATTTAAAGAAATTTAGATAGAACCCAAGTTCAAAATCTTCAAAATCATCAAAAAAACCGGCTTATTCACAAAAAAAAAGAAAAATTATTGTAAAAACAAAGTTTTCCCATGAAATGATCCCAACTCTTAATTATTTTGAATGATATTTTTTAAGCGCTCATTTTCCACTATATAGTCAAAACCGAACTCTATTTTGACCACACTAAACTTGTCCCTAAAGTGACTCGATTCCTTTTTTTGGTCGCTCGCATTTCGGCCTCGAAATTTCTTCAATGCTTCGATCAATTGAAACACGTTTTAGCCTATTTTGTAGAGGAGATTTACAACTTTCAAATAGTTTATAACATTCATCGATATCATGTTTCTATCGTTGGAAATGAATGTTGAAATGTTGAAATCCGCATTTCTTATGCATTTACCTAATAACTCTCTTTTTCGAATACTTTTCATGTAAATACAAATCTCTAAGTACAAATTTTGTTATTAAGCTTTTATTTATCGGTTTTTTAGGGGTTATTTTTGACGCTGATCACGAAACACATGTTTTTAGCCTAGGTTCCTGAACTGAAAACTAACGAAACGTGAAAACAGCCATTTTTTTGGCTTTTTACTGCCGCTTTTTACTAAAATAGCTGTAAAAACTTTTAGAAAAGGGATATCTCAAAACGGTTTTTACCAATCGATCCGTCTTGAATTCAGCTTTAGGATGAGCTATAAAACGTCAAAATTCGACAAATTTAAGGTACTCTCCCAAAAAATCGGAAAGGACTTTTCCACCAACCCAATATTTCTTTTTTAAATTTCTTTTTAATTTCTTTTTTTATTTCTTTTTTCTTTTATTTCTTTCTTTACTCACTTTTTTCTCATCCTCATTTCCAAGAAAGGGATTTGTGGAGCAGCAACGAGTAAATGTAAGGTTAAAATAAAGAAAAATGATGAGAGAATCGAAGCATTTCGCATAATTTCTCTTTTCTAATGTTGTGTACCCTTGAATAATATGTTGAAAGATCTAAAAAATGTTTAAATAAAGATAAATCTAAAGAAAAAAAAACAAAAAAACAAAGGGTTTTCTAGTAGCTTAGTAGATAGCTATCAGGAATATTAGTTTCATTCCCAGACAAGCTGATCGACGTCTAGTGTCAGCCACAAAAGGTAATTTTAAGTCTACTAGCTATCTAGCAGTTGTAAAAAGAGGAATTCTAATTTACTCTTTTAAATCAAATATTAGATTGTTAATGAGCAAAAAGGTTTCCTAAAAAAAATCGATATAAATTTATAAATTGGTAGAATAAAGAAAGAAAATTGCTAGAATCAAAAGAAATTATTAGAATTTCTTTCTTTGAATTCTTTCAAATGCTTCGATCACGATCGTTCAATTTCCTGGAAGAAAAAATGGAAAAAAAAAGCTTTAGAAAAACAATTCTACGAATTTCCGCTTTAGAAAACGCTTCCAGAACTAGAAAAATTCTATTTTGGGATGTTTCTTTGATTTTTGCGGGTTTCACAGATTTCCGTCAATAATGAATGAATTGATATAAAAAAAAACTTTTATATACCGTAAATACTGTAATAGTACCCCACCGCCCTCGTACAGTCGCGTAGTCGCAAAAGTTTTTTAGTAATTCATTTTTTTTTTCAAAGCGCCCGTACTTTCAAAAAATGCGTCTTTGGTATCAAAAAATAGCCCTGAATTTCAGCTATTTTTTGATATTAAAGCGCGCATTGTAGCATAAACCAGTGTCGAGAAAAACTCGTCCAAAGCTAGACTACACAGCTAGACTACGAGAAACACTAGTCCAAAGCTAGACTACGCAACGCTCCACGCCGTCATTATGGGGGGTGGGGTACTATTACAGTATTTACGGTCAGTTATTTTAAACAATTTAAACCCACAAAAATATAGTGTTAGAGAAAAAAAGTGAAATTCTCGATAGAGTACTTTTTGCTCGATAAAGGCGTAAACACCGACCTTTTGGCGCACTGATTTCGTGATTTTTCTATAAAATCAATCGTTAAATGATAAATTGCGTGTACTAGAAGGGGTGTATTACAAGTGAGCACAAAGTACATCAAATAAAAAGTCGAATCGATTGATCATTGATGCAACAAACTCTACTAACAATTGCGCTAGGAAACTTTCGCTTCTACCGTTATTTAAAGCATAAAACAGTGCTAAAACAATGTTAAAAAGCGATTTTTAAAGTCAAATAAAGCTTTAGAATAAGAAAATTGAAAATAAAAGTAAAAGGGAAAAAGTAAAATCTCAAAAAATTTACAAGAAAAGTTTAAAAAGTTTTTCTTTTTCAGAAAATTTTAAAAGTAAAATGTTCTTTGAGTTAAAAGAAAGCCTATTGTTTAGCCAAAAAAAAAGCCAAAAAAGCCATAAAAAGAAAGCTCAAAAGCGTCTAAAGAACTTCAAAATTTCTCTCTTTAAATGTATTTTAAAAAAAAAAATTTGACGTCAAAGTTCCTCAATTTTTAAAAAATTCCAAACTGTTGTTTTGATGTTTTCAGCTTTTACGTAAACTTTTAGCCCTTTTATATCGAAAAACAAACAATTATTGGTGACAAATTTTTGAATTTAAACAAAATAGAGCTTTGATTTGATGAGAATAACTGTACAAAAGGGTACAAATTACTGTACAAAATTTGACGTCAATCCGGTGAAACTGTGTGCTCTTTGTGGTTTAACTCAAACGCGTGCTTTCTGGCACATGGAGACTTGGGAAATTACACTGATCGACCCTTATGGGAAATTAAAGCAACTTGGGTAATTAAACCGGCCAAGTGGCCTTTCCCTTCGGGTTCTATCCGGACCGTGTGCCAGACGACGCTTTTTCTTACGAGCGACAGGCAAAGAACGCACAGGTTCCTTTTAGATTCTAGCCGTGCGTTCTTTCCCTGTCAATCGTAAGAAAAAGCGGCGTCTGGCACACTGCCCAGATAGAAGAGGCCGGAAATTCCTTTCGCTCGGTTTAATTACCCAAGTTTCCTATCCCAATATGCCAGAACACGATAAGATTTCGACATTTATGATTTGAACGTTTTGTTATGGAAGACAAGGGCTTCAGTCAAAACCGATATTATACAAAGAATATGAAATGAAAAATGAAATGGAAAGACAGATCAATCTCTTCTAAATAGTACAATTTGATCTGAATACTTTCTGCGTATTACAATTTTCGTTTTTTAGACGATTACTTGACACGAAAATGTTGGCGTAATGTTCGAAAGAAAGAAACTTTCCGGGAAAGGTTTGACTCAAAGCTACAAAACGTCGGGAAAATGAATATTAGTACGATTAGTTGATTATATTGTGAAATAAGGGAAAATAAAGAAAGAAGACAAAAGAAAGAAGATGAAATTTGAAAAAGAATTTGGCGAAGTTTCGAAGGCATGAGTAAGAGTTTCGAAATGGCACTGCAACGCCATGGAGATTGGAAAATGGAGAGAGTTTCAATTTCGATTTCAATTCGAGCATTTCCTTTCTTACAATTAACGTTATTCTTTCCCTATTTTTCATGCGATTTTTAGCTGTACTGGAAAAGGGATAAGATCAGAAGTCTTGGGTTTAGATCTGCTTTTCGCCTACTTTACAAAACCATCAAAAACCAGGATTTGAATCCACCAGAAGCGGAGCTTAATTGCAAAGATAATTGTAAAGATGTAAAATGTAAAGATTTGTTCAAGACAAAGTTGGCTCAAGGTTTAATAAAAAAAAAAGCAAAAAATTAAATTTTAATTTAAAAATAAACAAAAATTTCTCAAAATTTTCTTTAAAAATTTCCAATTTTTCAATTAAAAATGAAGATTTTTGTTTAAAAAATCATAGTTTTTTTGCATTTTCTAAAATTTTGATATATAAAGTCCTTTTCTTAAAAGATATATACTTGATTGAGTTGAATGGTGACAAAACAAGATCACAATAATCACCCAAAACATGACTAAAAACACAGAACCAGAATATATACAGGGTGCGGCAAAAGTTCTGACACTTTTTCTGTAAGCAGTAATTTTTTTGGCTTCAAAAACCCGTGAATTTCAAAAAACTAACGCCGGATTCTAAAAATTTAGGTAGTTTCACCCCAATATAGCCATTTTCATAAAAAGATTTCAACTCTCAATAACTTTTTGACGAGAATTTTTTATATCCCGGTCTGGTCGCCGAAGATTTTTGCGAAAGTTGACTTAAACTTTGCAGAATAAAATTTTTTCCAAAAACTGCTGTTACCATTTGATAGAACTGAGTTTTTTCTTGAAAACAAGCCACAAAAAAACTTTATATCTCAAAAACGAAAGATTTTCAAGCGATTCTACGAAGGGCACCCAAATCTCAACAGCAAAAAAAACTGCTGTAACGACCTTTAAACATTCTCATCAAAAGGTTGTTTAGATGGCAATTTTTTGTGTAAAAAAGTATATTAGGGGGTAAAAATATCTAAATTTTTACAATCCGGTGTTAGTTTTTCAAAAATCGCGTTTTTTCCAAGTCAAACTGCCCGTTTACAAAAAGTGTCGGAACTTTTGCCGCACCCTGTACTTGATTGAGTTGAATGGTGACAAAACAAGATCACAATAATCACCCAAAACATGACTAAAAACACAGAGCCAAAAGATAGGAAGATACCTTAAGAAAGAATCACTCAAAGAGCAGTCAAATGAATTGTCGAAAATGCGCTTTTAAATCTAGGCAAGATGTGAATATCACGAACATGACGGGGGGTAAATAACACGATAAATAGCTTTCACAATTTAATAACTCGATTAAAAAAGAAACTGTGGGAGCTTTTAGAGGAAATGGAAGGTTGGCATATGAGAAAAGTCTTCAACCAAGTATCTCTTTGACTTTCCCATTAAAACTAAGATGAAACTATTCTATATATGCTTTATTGAGTTGAATAGCGAGAAAACAAGATTGCAATAATCATCTAGAATACCACTCAAAACACAAAACCAAAAGATACCTCAAGGATAGGAAGATGCAGTACTGGACAATGAAATATGATATTTGAAAAACGATCGTCACTTTCGCGCGTCTGTAACTCCCTTGTCTTTGTGTTTAAACTATTAGTGTTATACATTTTCTGAAAGCTCTTTTCAAGGGCTACACAATGGTGATATTAATATTTAGAAATACGGTAAAGATAAGGGAGTTACAGACGCGCGAAAGTGCGTAAGTGTTTTCCAAATATCATATTTCATTGTCCAGTAGTGTAGTTTGAAAAACTAACTACTTATCTGAACACTTTTTTGTATGATTGTTACTTCCTTATGACTAGAATTACTATGATATTACAATAGATAATGAAAACTAATTAATTATGGATTCTAGGTCCACCTGGCCATCCAGGACCGCCAGGAATCACACACTCGGGACCACCTGGGCCACCCGGAGACCCTGGACAAGATGGATTAGCTGGTAATCCGGGTCTTCAGGGTCCTCAAGGTGAACCTGGATATCAATAATTACCCGGGAAACCACTCAAAACACACCAAAAAGATAAATAGATACAGTACTGGACAATGAAATATGATATTTGAAAAACGATCGTCACTTTCGCACGTCTGTAACTCCCTTGTCTTTGAGTTTAAACTATTAGTGTTATACATTTTCTGAAAGCTCTTTTCAAGGGCTACACAATGGTAATATTAATATTTAGAAATACGGTAAAGATAAGGGAGTTACAGACGCGCGAAAGTGCGAAAGTGTTTTTCAAATATGATTGTTTCATTGTCCAGTAGTGTACCTCAAGAAAGAATCACTCAAAGAGCAGGGAAATGAATTGCCGCAAATGCGGCTTTAAATCTAGGCAAAATGATTCATTTTGTACTTCCAGAAAAGTAGAAAAAACAAGAAATCTGAATCGTTGAAATCTCAATTCAAATCTCAATCGGAAATTCGATTTTGATAAGAGAAAAATATCTAGTTTTGAGAAATTTTTTCAAATTTTCAATTAAGA